GCCTTGCCTCATGATTTATACTTAGATTATGAGTTAGTATAGTATGCATATTGTGATTTTACGATGTGGATGCTTAGGTAAGTACTAGGTAAGTTATAGATTGTTAATGTGAGTTGATGAGTATGTTGAGATGAATTGAGAGCTCATAAACCTGCACCCCGGTGTTAGTGCTCTGCCAGATGACAGGGCCTAGCCTTCATGTGATTGTTCACCTCCCGCACCACACGCTCACCTTGGATCCAAGGCAGGTGCTAGCCTGTCATACAGACCACACTAGGTGGTTCCGACTCGTAGGTGACTTGCGATAATTCACACAGTCTTCACGTGATCGTAGCAATTAAATGTATTTATTTACACCTAGCCTGTCGTACAGACCACATTAGGTGGTTTCGACTCGTGTGCAGGATTTGATTGATGAGTTGTGGACCCAGCAGTACAGGTCACTTTGGGTGACTCCGGCTGACATTCTATTTCATATTGGTTTATTTCACCTGACTTATTTATTTCTTATTGAGCTATTTGACATGGCATATAAGTGGATTTTTCTATTTCGAGTATGGTTTCGATATATGTATATATTCTATTTTCTGGGAAATTATACGGGTTTTATGGCGATGGGTTACTACCTTTGATAATTGAAATGGTTTTTGAAAAGCTTTGTTTTTGCCCACTCACACTTTCTGTTTTGCGCCTCTCCAGGTTTAATTTACTGAAAGTTCGTATCGACGATGATTCTTGGCAAATCTCAGAATAGGTGGTTACTTTTGAGGGTATAATCCTTATCCACTCCACTGTACTTACTTGTGCTCTAATGTCATGTGTGAAGTGGGTTCATTTCTGCTCACTAGCGCACTCTGGTATTTAGGCACTCTTAGGTTTAAATTTATTCACATTTTTTATCATTATCACACTTTATGGCTTCATCACCTTCCAGGTGTCGGCCAGCACAGTTCGATTTGGAGTCTTAGTGGACATTCCGGGTTGGTGTGTGTCAATTATTATTATTATTATTATTATTATTATTATTATTATTATATATATATTTGAAAGATAGAGATGAGATGATATAATTGAGCAAATTAAATAAGTTCAGTGGGGAGGCAGCAATTGTGATGGGCGAGCTAACTCTCCAAATATGTATATATATGGGATAGGATCAAGGGACAAAGATTTTGACAAATATTTTTACACTCTATTGTAACCTTTAGATCTTATAACATTGAATGGTGTTAATTAAGAGTTATGTGGAGACTTTTAAACATTAAATGAATTGAATGATGGTTTGGAATATATAAATTAAAAAAAAATTGATTTAAAAAAAAAAAGGTTAAAATTTGATACAGAAAAAATGTGAAACTAAAACTGCAGTGAAGAAGCCTAAATCCAAAATCTTCATTCTTGGATCTTGGGTTGTTAGAGTTTTGCTATGGATGTGACAAAGTGGTTGAGTTGTTCGTCTAAACTTAGAGCGCTTAAACCTTCTCAAGATAAAACCCTAATTTTTTTTTCTTAAAGCAAAACTCTCTCTTTGCTTAGTAGCATGTTTTATTGTTCACTAGGGTTCAATGTTTGAAAAGGCAAGAAGAGTATACATTTTCAGACAAAAAAGAAGGAGAAGACTGCCTCATCGGCAAACAAAGAGGAAGATGGAGGGTAAGAGTATTTTTAGGGTTCTGTTTTTTTTTTTAAATTCTATTATTTTATCATATATATATATATTTAATTAAATTAGTGTTTTCCTTATTAGTTATAATCCAAATCATCATCCAATTCATTTAATGTTTAAAAGTCTTCACATAACTCTTAATCAACACTGTTGGATGTTATAAGATCTAAAGGTTACAAAAGAGTGTAAAAATGTTTGTCAAAATGTTTGTCCCTTGATCCTATCCCATATATATATATATATACACACACACATACTTACTTGGAGAGTTAGCTCGCCCATCACAATTGTTGCCTCCCCACTGAACTTATTTAATTTGCTCAATTATATCATCTCATCTCTATCTTTCAAACATATAATAATAATAATAATAATAATTGACACACCCCGACCCGGAATGTCCACTAGGACTCCAAATCGAGCTATGTTGGCCGACACTTGGAAGGTGATGAAGCCATAAAGTGTGATGATGATGAAAAATGTGAATAAATTTAAACCTAAGAGTGCCTAAATACCAGAGTGCGCTAGTGAGCATAAATGATCCCACTTCACACATGACATTAGAGCATAAGTATAGTGGAGTGGATAAGGATTATACCCTCAAAAGTAACCACCTATTCTGAGATTTGCCAAGAATCCTCGTCGATACGAACTTTCAGCAAATTAAACCTGGAGGGGCGCAAAACAGAAAGTGTGAGTGGGCAAAAACAAAGTTTTTCAAAAACCATTTCAATTATCAAATGTAGTAACCCCTTGCCGTAAAACCTGTATAATTTCCCAGAAAATAGAATATATACATATATCGAAACCATACTCAAAATAGCAAAATCCACTTATATGCCATGTCAAATAACTCAGTAAAAAATAAGTAAGCCAGGTGAAATAAACCAATATGAAATAGAATGCCAAATTACAAAAGAGTGTAAAAATGTTTGTCAAAATGTTAATCAACACCGTTGTGTGTGTATATATATATATATATATATATATATATATATATATATATATGATGAGATCATACAATTGAGCAAATTAAATAATTTCAGTAGAAAGGCAACAATCATGACGGGCGAGCTAACTCTCCAAATTGCATTGAAATTCATATAACAAAAGATAAATCTTCAATAAGGCAGCCTCACCACATAATTTGTGAGGAAATTCTGCATTTGGAGTAAGATAACGCTCTACTAAAGATTTTAACCTCCAATAAATGAAGTGAACCATACCGTATTGTTCACAATTAAAAATCTTTGCTCCCTGACAGATATGGGTATATGTACTCATATATGAAATTATTGGGGACAGAAAATTAAATACAAGGTCCTGCCATAGACAGCCTTGTGATATTCAACCCATGTCCAGCGGCCTATCTGAATTCAAGGGTGAATGAAACTAGAGCGGGAAAGTAATGGCTCTGTCTTCTATGGCCAAAGTGTTAAACACAATTTAGCACATAACAGCCTGTGATGATTAATTGTTGTTGATCTAAACACAAGTCACTACTCATTACTGTTGAAGATAGAAACCATATCAGCAGAAGAATGTCTGTTAGAAATGCTGTTAGTAGCTGTTAGAGTTTGTTAAGTCAGTTAACTCCAGCTTAAGACACAAGAAAGCTCATGAGAGCTATATAAAGTTGTAGTAGTATCTATGTAATTCATTCAGAAGTAATGCACTCAAATAGTATCTCTCTCATCAATTCCTTTCTTTTCTGCTTTCTCGTTCATTTAATCTTTCTCTTAGTTCTTCATGTTCATCTGTTAACAGTTATAATATTAATTACATTTCACATAATAACATCTATAGAGAGGTTCTGTTCTCATTTAGGTATTAAACCAAGGAAAATGCTAATCCGACTCGCCTAAAAGATAATAGCATGTCAAAGATGAAAAAACCACTTGCAGAGACTTTCCATTATCGTGCACGCCTTAGCTAATTAATTAGCATATCCTGATGGTGGTTTGCTCCATAATTTTCAAAGATTTGATGGATAATGGTTTATTTTATTGGATTATCAAGTTTACTATCCGGATCTCACTTCAATTGTTCATGTATTTATATGTCTGTGGATCTTCAACTAACCTACCAGCTGGTAGCTGTTAAATGGAAAGTCTCACAGGATATGCTAATAATGGTTTATTTAAATTTAGTAGCTGTTAAATGATAATGATGTGTCTGTAGATCTTCAACTAACATACCACATTTAATAGTACCGGCAAACTTGATGAGACATACCAGAATTCAATCGGATCGTGTTGAAAGAAACATTAATGATTGATACCTACATAGCATTATTGGAGTGAATGATTGTATATGATATTAAGCCGTTAAGATCTTTGGATACGAAGTGTGTGTATATATATTACATCACGATAAAACTAATTTAGTTTTATTATTTTAATTAGTGATAAGATTAAAGAAATCAATGATTTATGTTATCTTGCCGTAACCTAAGGGCCGGTTTTGAAATGTTAGAGGTCTTGTGCAGAAGATAGTAGATGAGTCTTTGTATAAAAATTCATGCTACAAAGCTAAATTATATGTCTATAGTTGTACTAATAGTAGAATATTAAAGTGCGCAACGAACAAAACTACAAAATAATAAGAATATTATTAAACAAACTGAGAATGTATTCTTATTATTTTGTAGTTTTGTTCGTTGCGCACTTTAATACTGCTAGTGTGTTTCTGTACATTTGGTTTTCCTGTGTCTTTACTTCATGGCACAAGAATATATTCACTTTTATTAGTCCAAATGGTGATTCGTTTCAAATGCAAGAAATGATTAGTTTCTAATGTTATATTTTTATGGTTCAAAAATTATATAGATGTCGCGGTTGATCACTCGTCGTCGGAGTGTGACCAATGCGTCTCCCGCATTATCAGCATCTACTGCTCCACCCATGAGTGCTCTATTGATTCAAGAGCCTACACCCCTTGCTGAGGCTACTTCTACGGCGTCTCAGGTGCCCGTCTCATCGACATCATCAGTGTCGATTCAGCCACTCAGTGCACGGCGGCCTCACCGGCGCCGCCGCGAGCCGGAGCCTTCTGATCACACTTCCTCGGCATCCAGAGTCGGGGGTGAGGCCTCCCAGCCAGGTACAATTTTTTCTAATTCTCACTACGTTGTATTTTTTTTTCATTTTAAAACTATTATTTTTATGATGGTGAAAATATGTTGGATTGTGAAAATGTGTTGCAAGTTGTGAATTACTGTTATTTTATTGTTTAAGGTTTTGGGAAATGCTATACTATTATGGGAGGTTGTGTCGAATTTTTTGTACAAATTTAAGCTTAGGGTTTTCACCATTTAAGTATTTTTGGCTAGCTAAAAAAAACACCAGGGGGCCTAGTCGAATGCTGAAGCAGAAACAGAACGTACGTCAGACCGGCGCCAAGATCAAGATTGTGTATGACCCGCGACATCGTGGAGCGTCTACCTCACAGCAGAATAGCTCCATCGTTAGTAGCTGTGGTGTTGTTATTCGAGACAATTGTCCTTTTCAGTGGCAGTCTTGGGCAGAAATTCCCGAGGACAAGAAGGAACTGGTGCGACACGAGTTGTCGGTTAGTATATTAATTTTTAGCCTTTATCATTTTTTTAATTTTGTTTACAAATATTAAAAACCAAAATATATTATCTTTAATATTATTAAATTTCTTACTATTATTTTATTATTTTTCATATTCGTAGTTCATTTATGATCTTGATGACGCATCCCCCGAGGTCATGGCCTACTTAGAGGAGACCTTAGCAAGCCGGTACAAAAATTGGAAGCACAATTTTCACAATCATTTTAAGATATGGGATAATCTGGAGATTGCTCGCTTACATGTTCCAAGCGAATTGAATGACCGGCCAGAGGATTGGGAGTGGCTCTGCAAGCATTTTACGGACCCAAACTTTGTGGTATGTGCATAATATTTTAATAAAAATTTATTATTGTTTTAGTAATTTTTTAAAGCTTTTTTTATTAATTTATTTCAAATAGTTTCACTAACATGTATATTGTGTGTTTAACAGAAGAAATCTGTTGCTGGCCAGATAGCTCGAGAGTCAAAGACACTTCTCCACCATTCTGGTTCGAAGCCCTTTTCGTATAGGCTTGAGGAACGACGTCAGGTAATACTATATTAACTTTGAAATTTTATACAATTTATTTATTATTATTAATAAAATTTTCTTAATGTTTTTTTTCTTCAGGAGGGTTCTAAGTTCCCAGAGATCGACATGTTCAAGGACGTTTACGTTCGACCTGGTAATGAAATCGCTGGGCAGTTTTATGTAAGTATATGTAATTATTATTATTCTTATATGTATGAATCGTTCAAATATTATTTATATTTTGTTATTAAACATTATATGTTTTTTCTTTATTATTACAGGATACTATGGTGGAAAAGAGCACTGCTGTTCTCCAAGAAGCAGCATCGCAGCTTCCCCCGGAGACTTCGATCGAGGATGTCATGGTACCAGAGGATGTAGGTTTTCAAATCATGACTGAAGTCCTGGATGAGAACCTTGGTCGTCGTCATGGCCAGGTTGTTCGGGGTATGGGGAAATCACGGGTTCGTGAGACGGGTGCCTCTTCTTCCAGATTGAACACATCATTGATGGATGAAGTGACAACCTTAAGGGGTAAGCTTGCGATCCAGGAAGAGCAGATGAGGGTCCAGGGCGAGCAGATGAAGGAGCAGATGAGGGCCCAGGGCGAGCAGATGAAGGAGCAGATGAGGGCCCAGGGCGAGCAGATGGAAGCGCAGCTGAGGGTCCAGAGCGAGGAGGTGAGGACCTATGCTGAAACGGTGAGAGACCTTGTACGAGCCATACAGACGGCCGGCCTACAAGTCTCGCTACCAGCACCTCATCTTGATCCACCTTCGATCTCAGAGCCACCTCACCCTCCCGATACTCAGTAGCTTGATGTTTTAAACCTAGTTCACTTGTACTTTATGTATACATTTTTATATATTTTATAATTAAATACTTTTTCTTGGTTAATTAATTATTCTTTACAATATTTATCAAAAATTAAAAAAAATAATTAGTTTTGACCAAAATATTTATAAAAAAAAAAGGGTTTGCGCGACGTAGGTCGCGTCACGCAAGGAAACTTTGCACGACATAGGCCCTGAGTTGCGCAAGGCCACTTTGCTCGACGTAGGCCCTGCGTCGTGCAAAGTTGCCTTGCGCGACGCAGGACCTACGTCGTGCAAAGTGGCCTTGCGCAACTCAGGACATACGTCGTGCAAAGTTTCCTTGCGCGACGCAGGACCTACGTCGAGCAAAGTGGCCTTGCGCGACGCAGGACCTACGTCGTGCAAAGTTTCCTTGCGTGACGCAGGTTATACCTTGGTCGAGCAAACTCTAGCGTTACCGGCTTGGCGCGACGGGTTTTGCACGACGAAGGTACGTCGCGCAAACCCTTGCGCAACGACTTTGGACTTTGCACGACGAAGGTACCTACGTCGCGCAAAGTGTTTTTTCTACTAGTGTAATAGTAGAATATTAAAGTGCGCAACGAACAAAACTACAAAATAATAAGAATATTATTAAACAAACTGAGAATGCCGAAACGGCTACAAAACCCTAAGAGGCTACATTGTGACTAACTTGTTTCTCAAACTAAATTACAAGCAATATTTATAGAGAACTAAACCTAAGAAACCCTAACTAGGATAAGCTAAGCCCAATTCCTAAACTAACAAGGAAAATCCAAATACTAAAATAAACATAAATACTAATATTTTCCAACACCCCCGTCAAACCCATGGCAGTACACCACATGGGTTTGCCAAAGTAGATGTGGATGCAAAACTCCAAATTCCAGTGCCGATGCCGATGCCGATACCTATGTCAATGCCGATTCCAACTTCCGAACAAACTTGAACAAAAAACAAAAAATCCAACTTTCGCAACGATTGCTCGAGTGGCCTAAAACCTCCAACTTTTTTCCTTTGCCCGTGTGGGCCTCAAACAAGCAATCAATTTTACCTTTTTTTTTTTTTTTTTTTTAATCCCCCTCCTTTTTCTTATTCCTTTCTTATTTTCTTCCTTTCCTTCTTCCTTCTTCCTTTCTTTGTTCCTTTTGTGCGAACAAACAACATATCTTTCTATTTGCCTATTTTTTCCTTTTGTGCAAACCAACAACATCATCCTTTTATTCTTTTTTTTTTCTGCGGGTGTATGGTTGTGGACAGATCCAGATGCAGCTGTAAGACTACTCAATTTCAAACTTTTTCCTTGCAAACAATCAATACCAACTAACAAATCTAAAACGAAAACACAAACAGCGGAAGATGACTAAAACAAAACCGATACAAACAAATTGGCACCCATCAACAACAGATTAAATCTTGAAGGATCCAACCAGCTATGATACCAAGTTGACACAACCCGACCCGGAATGTTCGCTAGGACTCCGAATCGAGCTGTGCTGGTCGACACCTGGAAGGTAATGAAGTCATAAAGTGTAGTGATGTGAAAAATATGAATAAATTTAAACCCAAATTGTCACATCCTGACTCGGGCCCCCACCACATCTCGGGCTCGACTCTACCGTAGCACGATATTGTTCGCTTTGGGCCCCGACCACGCCCCAACGGTTTTGTTTCTAGGAACTCACACGAGAACTTCCCAGAAACAAAACTGTAAGGGCGTGGTCGGCGTTTATAGGGAACAATATCATGCTACAGTGGAGTCGAGCCTGGGATGTGGTGGGGCCTGGGCTGGGATGTGACAATTTGGTATCAGAGCCAATCCCTGATCGGAAGTGTGCCGACGAGGACGTCGAGCCCCTAAGGGGGTGGATTGTAACATCCCACATCGCCTAGAGGTGTGGATCCTGTAAGCCTTATATGTATATTCTCATCTCTGCCTAGCACGAGGCATTTTGGGAGCTCACTGGCTTCGAGTTCTGTAGGAACTCCGAAGTTAAGTGAGTTCGCGCGAGAGCAATCGCATGATGGGTGACCCACTGGGAAGTTCTCGTGTGAGTTCTCAGAAACAAAACCGTGAGGGCGTGGTCGGGGCTCATAGCGGACAATATCATGTTACGGTGGAGTCGAGCCCGTGATGTGACAATTCTAATAAGTGATCTAAATGGAGTACCATTACTTGAGTTATAATTGAAATCAAGAAAGCTAATATATACGTCTATAGTTGTACTAATATGGAGATTGGGTTTTCCCTATTGATATAACTGCTAGTGCTGCCCTTTCTGCTATATTCGTAATAATGCAATTTGTAGGATATCATTGCTAGAGTGGAAGTGACATTAAAACACAATTAAAAAAATTCAACAAAATCAAGAAAATAAATAAATAAAAACAAAAGAGAGAGGTTGTATTGGCATACAAAATAAAATTGTGACACGTAAACAAATAATTGCCCATAAAATTGCTAAATTTGATCACAATCTATTGATTAGTCTCTTGGGTTAGCTGTCCGATCTTTAGATATTGAAGAACGTTGAGGTTATACTATAAATTTAATTGACAATATAAGAAATAACTCAACTTACTTATAAGCCCATGCAAAATCACTCATCCATCAATGTGAGATTCATTCTCAACAAGTGTTGATGATTTGTCCGGAGTTGCAACATCCTTAGTTAATTTCTCAAATTCATTCGACAATTTTGCAAGTGGGTGAAGGAGCCTCGAACCCAGATGAGGAGAGATGCTTTATTTCCACTTGGGTAGTGTTATTCACACATTCTTTTTTACCTCCCACACACACTTGTTAATTTTTGTCAATTGATCTTCTTCAATTCATTCGATATGATGCCACAAATTGAGAGAGGTGTGTGAGAGGTAAAAATGAGTGTGTGAATAGCACCACCCTTTCCATTAGGACAACTCTCCTTTTATGTTGGTTAAGTTCAGCAAAAGAAAATTGTAATTGTCCTTTAATGACCAATTTCCCTTGTTCTTAGTTAATTTTATGCTGATTCGAATATGAAAATTAATTGACTTTTTCTTCCAAGTGCGTGTAACATGTATTGTGAGAATGGATGACTTGAATTTGTTTGTCCACAATATCTTTTTTATCAAGTGTCCTTCTACTTATTTAATGACATATGACGTATGTGCTCGTGTTATGGATACATTAAAAAATATCTCTTTTTATGTTCAAATTCTCCATCCCTTAATTTAGAGAATTCAGGTTATTCTATAGCTTGTCAAAACAAAAGATTGTTCAACAGCAACCACCATTATATTAGACATTACGGACTGTCCACAATCCACATCCTGGAACCATAAACTCGTGGTAGGATGAGGAGGAAAAATTCATCCTTACGCATTTTTTAAGAGAATTATCGGTAATTGTTGTATATACAATCTTCCATCCACTTTCTCCAATCTTCCACGTAACGATTTCTTGTATATACCAAGTCTTCATACACTGTGGCAGCGTGGTGCAATTTTAAATAATTGATATTATTTATAGACAATATTTTTTTATGGTCTGAATAGACTATATCTAGAAATAATGCAAGTCAGGGATGATCCATTGGCAATGAAAATCTTCAAAGATCTAAAAATATAATTTTTTAACAAATGATATTATCTACGTTAAGAGAAAGGGATGTGCTTAGCTTCACAATAGACTATCAATAACGTGATTCAAATTGGTCTTTGGCGAGAATCAGACCGAAAATCTCTCACTTACAAATAAAAAAGAATATCATTAAATCGTAGTATTAAGTGACATAGATCTAAAAACATTAATTTAGCGAGATTTTGTGAATCTAACATTTATGGATACCCTTACCTCATCAGTCATCCCCCTACTTTTTTTATCATTTCTATTTTGTTTTATTAGATAGTCGGAGTTGGTAATGACTTTTTAGCAAAAAATAAAGATAGTGAGAAATGATTCTCTCTCATTCCATTTCCCAGCTCCGGTTCTCTCCTCTTTCTCTTTCCTTTTTTTTTTCTTTTCCTACAAAGAAGACAATACAAGATGTTGACGTGATTTAATCGTAATCATTCAACTAGAAAAATACTGAAGAGTAGAAAAAAAATGGAAAAAAGAGAATCCTGATTAAAAAAAACAGACGTATTACAAATCAATCTATCCGAAAAAATAAATAATGATAATAAACGTATGTACACACAATATTTTACTAGTGTGATGGTCAACTACACACAATGTTATTTGTGAATTGATAACATATACTGTCCTATTGTGAATTGGTAACATATACTGTCCTATTGTGAATTGGTAACATATACTTTCCTATTGTGAAATGATAACATATAACTTTGTCATTGTATAAAACTGAGAAGACACTATAAAACCCTTTTATCTATCAATGCATATTGTGAACTTGTCTTCATAGGATTCCAATTAGAGAAATACCAAGGAGACTCTCAAAAGTGGAACTCTCTTAATGGATTCTCTGCCATCTCATATTTTTGGCACAATATTTTACAATGTTAATACGAGAATTGATGTTAAACTGTGAGATGATAGATAATTCATAAAGAGTCTCACTTTTAGAGAGTTGATTTTGCATTCGAGAAGTATGATTTTAAAAATATATGACTTACTGTCTATCATGTGTTTCATGATTTAAATGCTTCTTAAATTGGATGACCCACTATTAAAATATTATGCAATTTAACTCTAGTCACTTGTATTTAATAAGGAGGTAGGAGCCGAAATTATACACACACTTTAACATTCTTCCCTTATAATTTCTGAGTAGCATCCATCAAAACTGCCCATAAGCATGGTTCTGCATGGTAAAATTGGGACTGAAATAGAAATTAAGGCACCAGCTGACAAGTTGTATAACATCTTCAAGAGCGCCCACCTCATCCCAAACATTTCTACTGCCCATATCAAAGGAGTTGATGTTCATGAAGGAGACTGGGAAACACACGGCTCTATTAAGATTTGGAAATATGAACTAGGCAAGTACAAATTCAATTTTTATTCATGTTTAATTATTAACTATATACGTACGTATGACCCTAATAGATGTGCTCAACGTCATCATACGTTCATAGCATGAGTTTGCATGTTTGTATATATACACCATAGTGTTGAGAGTTGTCCCGCATTCGTGAGGGACAAGGTTTGCTATGTGCATATATGGTCTTGGGCTACTCCCCATATTGCCAATTGGTTTTATGGTGGAACCCCAATTTCATCATGGTATCAGAGCGGGTTGTTCTCGTGTGAAGCCAAATGACCACACACGCTCCACGTCACCCAGTTGTTGTCCACGTGTAGGCTTGAAAATCCGCCACACGTGCGGGGGCATGTTGAGAGTTGTCCCATATTGGTGAGAGACAAGGTTTGCTATGTGCATATATGGTCTTGGGCTACTCCCCATATTGCCAATTGGTTTTATGGTGGAACCCCAATTTCATCACATAGAACCTCTTAGTTATGTTACTGTTTCCTTCAAATTTTGCTCCGGGCTATGAGTTTCCAATACGGTAAATACATGTTCCCTAAGTACATGCAGTCATGTTGTCCTGTTTTTTCCAATGGAGCAAGATCCTGATCACTGGAAGGGGCTTCGATCTATGTATATACATACACACACACACACACACACACACACACACACACCACATACAGAGAGACTGAGAAAGATTATTTATTTTGGTGTGGTGAAATTAACCATGAATGCGTGCATGCATATATAGGGGACCATGTCGGAATATTCAAGGAACAGGTGGAGCTAGACGATGAGAACAAGGCCGCAACTCTGATTGGATTGGAAGGAGAAATGTTCAAGTATTATAAGAGATTCAAGGCTGTCTATCAATTCACTCAAAAAGATGAAGGCACGGGTATTGCCAACCTGTGGATCGAATACGAGAAACTGAACGAACATGTTGAAGCTCCAGATAGATATATCGGTTTGATGGTTAACCTCGTCCAGGATCTTGATGCTCACTTTCTCGGGGCATAAATGAATTAATTAATGAATAAAACCGGGTAGCATATGCAACGGTTGGAAAGAGGTTTTACTGGTCTTGTTAAACGTAATTATATGTAATCATGCATGCATTTGTTCATCAATGCGTACGTGCATATATAAAATGGTTTTCTTAATTATGTATGTGTGTATTGTGAGAAATATACGAAGGGATGTCCTATGTATGGCATAGTTATGTGATAGATTATGGTTATGGATCATATCTATGAAATAGAGAAGTCTTTGTTGATTTCTCCCTGAATTTGTAGAGTTCGGTCAATTTTTTCTTTGAACTTTAAGTCAATTTCTCCATCAACTCTTATAATTATTCAGTTTTGTCCCCTGCTGTTAAGGTTTTTGAATTTTTCATCCAACATGTCATTAACGTTTGCCTAGTTTGCAGCTTCAAAGAGTAGAAAAGTCATTTTCCTTAATTTATATATATATATATATATTTATTTATTTATTTTTTTTTTTCTTTAAATTTTTATTCTCTCTCTGAAACTCTCCTACACGGCCAGGCCATGTAGGAGACCTCCATCATTCCCAAACTTGAACGCTCCTCTCCCAACAATCAACGAGATCGGTGAGATCGAACCCTAGATTTCTGCCATGTGTGGAAAAAGAGGGTGGTGATTGGGAGTTTGGGCCTCTGGATGATAAAAAAGACCATAACCACCAATGCAATCCCCTTGCATATATAGCCTTAATTGTACTCAACAACTAACATGTGTGAGTACCTCAACCTCACCTGCCCATTTAATCATTTCTTTCTTATTGTGCAATCCTTAACAACCTAAAATATAAGTCGAAAAGATGTCAGTTTAATTTTCAGAAATTGGCCTTTTCTTGATTTTAAAATTTTCCGGTCGTTTAAATTTTAGTATTATATTATATATGTGGAACTTCTAAGTATTTTTTGTAACTAAGTATCTTTATCCCGTGGAGGCAAGATCTCCCATAGTGCATAGACGCATATATTTTCTCACATTTTTTATTTATGTCATTCATATTGATTGAATTAAAAGAGAATTCAAAAAATTAAATTAACTAGAATGTGTAAAAGGAGAAATGGGTGTGCAAATGGAGATCTTATTCTAAATTTATCCAACTAGATACGTATGAACAATTTACTACACAACTTGCCAAATCTCTTTAGCGCATGCGTTAAGGTATTGTGAGTAACCTAACTGTGATATCAGTTTCTTTGTATAACTTTTGACAATCATGTTGTTCAGGATGTATTCTTACTGTTAATTACACAATGAATTTTGAGTTTTTCTTTTGATAGTTCTCCAATATATATGTACTGTCTGTGAGAATGTGAGGACAAAGTTCCACATCGGTGAGAGATCAAACCATGCAAGGCTATATTAGAGGTTACGCTGCTTCCTGTATTGTCAATTGATTTTATGATGGAACATGAAGTTTCTTCATGGTATATATCGAAGCAATGTGTGAAGCCCAAGTGCCCAACAGCCACTCAACGTCATCCTATTTATGTTGTTCATGTGTCCGGCTTGAAAATCATCACACGTGAAGGGGCGTGTGAAAATGTGAGGTCAAAGCCTCAAGTCAGTAAGGGACCAAATGTAAAAACTTATAAGAGATTGAGCTACTCTTTATATTGTCACTTGATTTTATTGTGAATCCCAACTTTTTTCCATTGCACTTGATTAATTACACAGCTTTTAAAAATGGGGAGTTCGTTTTTCTTGATAAAAAAATAATCGGGCAAGGGAGTCGGTGATGACTTCTCAACAAAAGAACAAACTTAATAGGGCAAGGGAGCCGGTCATGACTTCTCAACAAAAAAACAAACTTAATACCTAAATTTTAATCTATCCAGAAGGGACAAAAATGTGATAATTGATTGAAAGGGTAAAATATAATATTGTAAAAAAAAAATCCAATGATTGGTTAATTTGGGTACTGCCACTTGTACTAATATTTTCGATTACAATAATTTCACAATGACTCGCTTGGACCTTATCTGTTCGAAAGTATGAAATAATCACATCATTTAATACCTAAAAGCTGAGTAAAATAGTGAGTGACTTTAATATTAGGGTGATATTATTGATATTTAAAAAAAGGGTTTTTGAATTTTAATCTTTGAAGAAGATTAAAATTTAATAAAAACTTGATGTTAGATTAGATATTGATTTTAGTTCTATAATGTGTGCTTAATTCTAATTTATATTATTATTTTTAATATTTAATAGATATCTTATTTAATTTCATTATATTAAAATTAAAATTATTTATTATTTAATTCATTATATTTATTTTACTTATTCTAATTAGTGTACCTACACGTCTATATCATAATATATTTTACTAAATTAGTGTACCGAAATGTCCTTACCTCAATATATTATAGTGAATTAGTGGCACATAAGAAAATATGCAAAATCATAAGTGTACCGAAAAATTCTGTACCTAAATATATGATATTAAACTAATGTACCGAAATGTTGGTACCTAAATATATTATAATAAACTAGTGTACCGAAATGTCCGTACCTAAACATATTATATTAATGTATCAAAATGTTTGTACCTAAATATACTGTAATAAATTAATGGCACATAAGAAAATATGCAAAAACATGTGTACCGAAAAATCTTTAAGAAAATATTTTCTTATATAAGATACTTACCATAAAGAAAATTAAAATTTATAATACTTTCATAAAATTTAATTTATGAACGCTATAAAATTATAAATAAAAAAGAGAAACATTTAATATGCTGGCATTACTAAAATCAATTTTTAATCTTGTATAAGACATTTTTCTAAACTTCATCTTATTTAAGAATTAAAATCTAGTTTTCTATTTAAAGGATCTTATTTAAGCACTTTTTACAAGTGCATTTTTCATTATAAATATAAAAAAAAATTATGTGCACAATAATTTTTTAAGATATTAACAATAGCATCCTAGAATTATTATTGATCCAAATCATGTACTTAACCGAAAGTTATTACGACATTTGTCTGATTTCCTTTATCTGAAATTTTTTTTAATAAATAAATGTGTTTCACGTTTCCTCAAAAAAAAAAAATGTGTTTCATGAAATTCATGTGATCCTTTGAAGCATTACATTTTCAAAGTTATCCAATAAATTAATATTACACAATTAAATATTGTAGCAGTAAGGGCTGCCCTTAAGTTTCTATAAGAGCCTGCCTTGTACGAATCTCTGAGTACCATAACAACGGATCATCATAAACATGGCTCTGCGCAAGGTTGAGACTGAGATTGAAATTAAGGCACCCGCTGAGAAGTTCTACAATATCTTCAAGAGACAGGCTCACCACGTCCCAAACATTTCTTCTGGCAGTATCCAGGGAGTTCAGGTGCATGAAGGAGACTGGGAAACTCATGGCTCTATTAAAAGTTGGAATTACAGTGTAGGTAAGGCCATCTGTACATAATATATAAATATGTACATGTATTTGGTGTGTATCTTTTTTCTCGAAGACGAGAACAATTATATGTTAATCATAATTCAACAATATCAGCAGGATCGCAATTAACGGAACCCTAATTCACAAGTGAACAACTAACCCATGAGTGAAAAATACATACTGATATAATGGATAATTAAAACAATATATCATATGTAAGAATTGGAACTGATTTTGAATTCAATACTCAAATGTTGGTAAAGAATCTAGGTGTGCCACAATAATGCAGTTGGTTCAACTCAAATTTGAAACTTAGACTCCATTTTGACAACCATTTCATGTTTAGTTTTCAAAAAATTAAAATTAAAATCAAGATAAATCTACAAAAACTCACAAAAATAACTTCAGTTTTCATTTTTGTGAAAACTTAAAACAAATTGTCTATCAAATGTCCATTTTAGTGTTTCTTTGGTTAATATATAGATTGCTTTCTTGTGAATACATAGGGGACGAAGTTGGAGTATTCAAGGAAAAAGTGGAGTTTAACGACGAGAAAAAATCCATAACACTGAATGGTTTGGAAGGAGATGTTTTCCAGTATTATAAGAGCTTCAAGCCAGTCTATCAATTCACTCAAAAGGATGAAGGCAACATTGCGAACTTGTCGATTGAATATGAGAAACTGACTGAGGATGTTGCAGCTCCGGACAAATACGTCGGTCTGATGGTTAACATCGTCAAGGATCTTGATGCTCACTTTATCAAGGCATGATTAATTAAGGAAAGGAAAAGCATGCAATGGTGAAACGCGACATCCATCGTTAATATGTAATATGTGTGTTAATAATGCGTGCTTTGCTTGATAAAAATGCTTTGCTATGTGAGTTTGCCTTATAATAAATGTACGTGAGGGGATATCAGATATAGGATTGTGATGCATAAACTATGATGTGGGATTGAGATGTATAAACTATGGTTTATATGTAAAATAAAACGTGCAGTGTAACATCTCCATTTTGTTGCTCATCATCACATAAAATGGCCTTAATTAGTCTTCTTTAAAGAAAAAATAGTCTTCTTCTTCTTCTTTTTTTACAATGGGGATATGATCCTGGAAGATATAAAATGGAAAAAAAGAATATCCTCATTGTTTAAAAAATTATACGGTGAATTAACGTTGAAAAAAATGATTTGCATCATATAAATTACAACCAATCACTCCAACAATGCTAAGAGCGGAATCGTTGAAGTTTCTTTCAATATGATCCGCTTAAATTCTGCTATTATTGGATACTTTTTTCTTTCCACTTATTGTTGATGTCTCATCATCAAGTTCGCTATTACATATTAAAATTGAAATATATTGAGCATGCAATGCACCTTAGGGTTTACACACCTCATGATGAATAACGGGATGGGATCATCGGTGGATGCATAATTGTAATTTTTCATGTGAATAATACGTGTAGGTGGAAAGGCCGAGACATTGAAGGAAAAGGTGGAAATGGACGAAGCAAACAAGTAGGTGATGAGTCTTACAGCTTTGGAGGGATCAGATGTCCTGGACAAAAGCATTAAGATAATTCTCCAGGTCACTCCAAAGAGTGAAGGAAGTTCCACGAAAATTGCTAAAGAATATGCAAAACTTAACAAGACCGATTCGTCTCCACATAAGTACCTCAGCTTTCTGGTGTCATTCAAGATATTGATGCCCATCTTCTCAAGGAATAAGCGCCAAGAAAAAGGTTTATACATGCATGGAACTTTGAGTAATCTTCAAGAATAAAGACCGGAAGAAGAGCAAGCTAGCCTCCTTGTTTAGTTCCGACTTGGATTGTCTTTAATCCATAGGCGATGAAGTCACGAAGTCGGGGGATGTTCAAGGAAAAATTAAACGATGAGAAAAAGTCCATAACTATGAGGGCACGTTTATGCACTTGGAATCGGAATGAACAATAAACGAATTATGAATGAATCAAAGTCAACGTGAAATGGAAAGATGAATTTCCATTAAAATGTACCAATTAACTCCCAGGAATCAGAATGATGGTGTGAAGGCAGTTTTAGTATAAAAGTTTATTCACATCCTGTTAGGAATGTCGGTACTACAAGATAGAGAATGCACAAGGTAAAGTAGAAAATGGACACCAAGAATTTATGTGGTTCGGCAATTTATGCCTACGTCCACCAAACAAGGATCAATCTTCACTATATGAAAAAGATGAATACAACAAGAGTAGTCTTACCAAGCCAAAGACAAGGCTTGATGGATACAAGAAAGTATAACACACACTTTCTATCACTCTAAACTTCACTCACACAATGTGTAGTGGAACACTCTCACTCTCACTCTTGAAGTGGAACTCTAGCTTTGGACTTGATCCTTTGCTACTCATTCTTAGTTCTCAATTGGTTACATCACACCCATATTTATAGGTGAGGGCTTGGCATTCTACTAGTTTCTAGTTCCTTCTTCAAACCTCTAGTATAGAAAAATCTAGACTAGCCACATACTTGTAGCTTCTAGATCTTTCCATTTGCAACCAAGGAAGCTAGTACTCTCTCTAGCTTTTTCCATCAACTTAATAACATGCTAGAATTGTCTAGCAAGCTCCAGCCTCATCTCTTGCTTACTAGAATAATCTAGAACATTGATCATGGGCTGGACCATATACCAACAATCTCCCCATCCAGTCCATGAGGGAGGAATTCCGATCATGACTCCAAGTTACCTGGAGTCCATCCCAGCAGCCTTAATGCAGAATTCCAACTTTGATTTTGTGACCACCTTTGTCAACATGTCTGAAGAATTATTATCGGTATGAATCTTCTTCAGCTGTAGCATCTTGTTCTCGATAGCATCTCTAATCCAGTGATAACGAATATCAATGTGCTTGGTGCGTGAATGGTATGCAGTGTTCTTGCTCAAATCCAGAGCACTCTGACTATCACAATAAACGCCATAATCACTTTGCTTAAAACCCAACTCTTGGAGAAACCGCTTCAGCCACAACAACTCCTTGCATGCTTCTGTAGCGGCTATGTATTCAGCCTCGGTTGTAGACAAAGCAACACACTTTTGCAACTTGGATTGCCAAGACACGGCTCCCCTGCAAAAGTAAACAAGTACCCAGACGTAGATTTTCTGCCATCCAGGTCACCTCCCATGTCAGCATCTGTAAATCCTTCCGAGATTGGTTTGGAACCGCCAAAGCACAAGCACATCTTAGAAGTCCCCTTCAAATATCTGAGAATCCACTTAACAGCTTCCCAATGGTCTTTCCCTGGATTAGAGAGAAACCTGCTCACCACACCTACTGCATGAGCAATATCTGGCCGTGTGCACACCATTGCATACATGATACTTCCTACTGCTGAAGAGTAGGGAACAACTGCCATTTTCTCCTTTTCTTCATATGTTTTTGGACACGACTCTTTGCTCAACTTGATATGATTGGCTAAAGGTGAGCTTACCGATTTGGCTGCTTTCATGTTGAACCTTTCAAGCACCCGTTCAACATATTTTTCTTGTGACAGCCACAACTTCTTGGATTTTCTGTCACGAATTATCTCCATGCCCAAAATCTGCTTGGTTGGCCCTAAGTCCTTCATGTCAAAGGACTTAGATAACTCTTCTTTGAGCTTTTTAATCATAAAAGCATCTTGACCGACAATCAACATGTCATCAACATAAAGCAACAAAATGATGAATTTACCTCCAGAAAATTGTTTGATATAGACACAAGAGTCAGCATGAGTTCTCTTGTACCCATTACTCACCATGAATGAGTTGAACTTCTTATTCCACTGTCTCGGAGCCTGCTTAAGACCATATAAGCTTTTCTTGAGCTTGCACACCAAAGTTTCTTTACCCTTGACTTCAAAGCCTTTGGGTTGCTCCATATATATCTCCTCTTCTAAGTTACCGTGGAGAAATGCAGTTTTAACGTCTAACTGCTCGAGCTCAAGATCCATGCTTGCTGCCATACCAAGGATAACTCGAATGGAAGTCATCTTCACCACCGGTGAGAAAAATCTCATCAAAGTCAACTCCTTTCTTTTGACCAAAACCTTTGACAACCAAACGAGCCTTGTACCTTGTCATGTTGTCGTCATTTTTCAATTTGAACACCCACTTGTTTTTCAATGCTTTTCTGCCCTTTGGAAGCTCCACCAGCTCATAGGTATTATTCTTTAATAAGGAATCCATCTCTGACTCCATTGCCTTCATCCATTTATCACTGTCGTTATGAGCTCTGGCCTCCTCATAAGTTTCGGGCTCTCCATAATTAGTCAACATGATATACTCTGATGAAGAATACTTGGTAGACGGTCTTCGACTTCTGCTGGATCTTCTGACCTGATCTTCATTCTCTTGCGGGGCTAGAGGCTCCCCCTGATTGGATTCTCCTTGAATCTGCTCTTCTTGACTAGGCTCCCCCTGATCAGCAATCTCATGGTCTGGCACATCTTGATCAGGCTCCTCTTGATCAGCATTATCTGATTCTGCAGGCACTTCATTGGCAGTTGCTTCAGGGATGTCATCGTGACTTTCTTCATCTGAAGCTAATGGATCAACTCCTCTGACTGCGCCATCTGGTTGTGCCTCTTTATCCGAATCCCCAATTGTTTTGATCTTCATAAAAGACCACGTCTCTACTTCGGATAAACTTCTTCTGGTATGGGTCCCATAATCTGTAACCAAAATCTTCACCGCCATAACCAAGAAAGATGCACGGTGTAGCTTTGTAGTCTAACTTCGATCTCTGCTCTTTGGGCACATGCACAAAAGCTTTGCAACCAAACACCTTCAGATGAGAGTAAGACACATCATTACCAGTCCATACTCTCTCTCTGGAACATCAAGACCTAATGGTACTGATGGAGATCGGTTGATCAAATAGCAGGCTGTCCTTACAGCTTCACCCCAGAACTGCTTAGATAACTTTGCAGTCCTCAACATACACCTGACTTTCTCCATGATAGTTCGGTTCATTCTTTCAGCAACACCGTTATGTTGTGGAGTTCCAGGAATTGTCTTCTCATGACGTATGCCATGTTTTACACAATACTCTCTAAACTGGTGAGATGTGTATTCGCCGCCGTTGTCGCTACGAAGGCACTTGAGAGGTTTCCCAGTTTCCCTCTCCACCATGGCATGGAACTCCTGGAATGTCTGAAACACCTGGTCTTTGGATTTCAACAAATACACCCACACCCTTCGTGAAGCATCATCATATATAAGTAACAAAATATTTATTTCTTCCAAGTGACTCGACTTCCATGGGACCACACACATCTGAATAAACAAGATCTAACAAGTTTCCTTTCTTTGTAGATGGAACAGAAAAACTAACTCTTCTTTGTTTTCCGAATAAACAATGCTCACAAGAGTTTAACGACGTACCTTTGGCAAAGGGAATATGAGACTTCTTTGCCAAAACTTGTAGGCATTTCTCGCTCATGTGGCCTAGCCTCTTATGCCACAAGTCTAGAGATGAGTCTTCCACAGCATTCAACTCACCTTTCAAAACCTTGGCATTTGACCGGTACAACGTACAACAAAGTCGTGCTCTTGCTACCACCATTAAGCCTTTAGTAAGCTTCAATTTTCCTTCGCCAATATGGTGATAATATCCTTGTCGATCAAGGGTACCGATGGATATCAGATTGAGACGTATATCAGGAATATGTCTCACATCTTTCAACATCAATTGGCAGCCGAGATTAGTTCTTAAGCATATATCACCAATTCCAAGAATTTTGGAATAGCTTTCATTCCCCATCTTCACTATGCCAAAGTCACCTTCTTTGTATGTACTGAAGAACTCCCGTTTGGACGTAGCATGGAAGGAAGCTCCATTATCAAAGATCCATTCAATGTCTCTGTCAGAGTTGCCCATATGCAGACATTCACCAACAGACAATATTTCTGGTACATCACCACAATATGACAGCGGTGGTATTGCCAGTATCATCTTTCTTCTGATTGTTTCCTTCCCTTTGCTCTCTCTTCCAAACTCGACAATTTTTCTTCATATGGCCTTCTTTGCCACAATGGTGGCATGCACCCTGAACCTTGACTTGGATCGGCTAGGACTCCTGCCATGACCTCTAGGCCCTCTACTCTTGCTTCTTCCGCGGTTCTCTGTGACAAATACTTGGCTGCTATCTGTGCCAGAAGTCTTTCTCCTTGTTTCTTCATTGAGCATGCTATTTTTAACATTATCAAGAGTAAGAACACCATTAGAAGCAGAGTTACTTATACTCACCACAAAGGTCTCCCAACTGTCTGGCAAGGATCCAAGTAACAAGAGCGCTTGTAGCTCGTCCTCGATCGTCATTTTCATAGTAGCCAACTGGTTGATGATATTCTGGAAATTGTTCAAGTGTTCTGCTACACTTAAACCATCTTTGTACTTCACATTGATGAGCTCTTTGATCAAGAAGGCTTTCTTGGCTGGGGTCTTCTTCTCGAACAAGGACTCAAGCTTCGTCCAAAACTCGCGAGCATTGGTTTCATTAGACACATGGTGAAAAACACTATCATCCACCCATTGTCTAATTGTGCCAATAGCCTTGCGATTCATCTTCTTCCACACTCGGCATCGGACATGCTCTCGGGCTTAGCGGCATCTCCTTCAATTGGCTCATGCAAATCCTTGCAATAGAGAATGTCCTCCATCCTTGGCTTCCATGTTACCCAATTGGAGTTGGTGAGTTTGATCATAGTGCCACTTCCTTCCATCTCGTAGTACGAGCCAACCGGGCTCTGATACCACTTGTTAGGAATGTCGGTACTACAAGATAGAGAATGCACAAGGTAAAGTAGAAAATGGACACCAAGAATTTATGTGGTTCGGCAATTTATGCCTACGTCCACCAAACAAGGATCAATCTTCACTATATGAAAAAGATGAATACAACAAGAGTAGTCTTACCAAGCCAAAGACAAGGCTTGATGGATACAAAAAAGTATAACACACACTTTCTATCACTCTAAACTTCACTCACACAATGTGTAGTGGAACACTCTCACTCTCACTCTTGAAGTGGAACTCTAGCTTTGGACTTGATCCTTTGCTACTCACTCTTAGTTCTCAATTGGTTACATCACACCCATATTTATAGGTGAGGGCTTGGCATTCTACTAGTTTCTAGTTCCTTCTTCAAACCTCTAGTATAGAAAAATCTAGACTAGCCACATACTTGTAGCTTCTAGATCTTTCCATTTGCAACCAAGGAAGCTAGTACTCTCTAGCTTTTTCCATCAACTTAATAACATGCTAGAATTGTCTAGCAAGCTCCAGCCTCATCTCTTGCTTACTAGAATAATCTAGAACATTGATCATGGGCTGGACCATATACCAACACATCCCCCCTCCTATCTCAAATCTCACCTCCTCTCTCTATGCAATCCTCAAAATTGGACATCTAACGCGGGACTCGTGCATATTTTGATTCCTCTAAAATTAGTAAACAAGGAAATATTATAAAATGGGAATGACATTCCTTGCATTTCCTTTCCCTATGAAATGGATTGAAAGAGATGTCTTCCAGTATTACAAGAGCTTTTAAGCCAGACTATCAATTCACTCAATTGATGAAGGCAGCACTGCAAAACAGAAGAAATGTTAAACTTTATGGTTTATAATAGAGATTATTTTATTGTGAAACCATAGGCCATGAAGTCACGAAGTCAGGATGTTCAAGGAAAAATTAAACGATAAGAAAAAGTCCATAACTACGAGGGCACGTTTATGCACTTGGAATCGGAATGAACAATAATCGGATTATCAATGAATCAAAGTCAGCGTGAAATGGAAAGATGGATTTCCATTAAAATGTACTAATTAACTCGCAGGAATCAGAATGATGGGTGTGAAGGTAGTTTTAGTATAAAAAGTTTATTCACATCCCCCTCCTAGCTCAAATCTCACCTCCTCTCTCAATGCAATCCTCAAAATTGAACCATCTAATGCGGGACTCGTGCATATTTTGATTCCTCTAAAATTAGTAAACAAGGGAATATTAAAAATTGGGAATGACATTCCGTGCATTTCCTTTCCGTATGAAATGGATTGAAAGAGATGTCTTCCAGTATTACAAGAGCTTTTAAGCCAGACTATCAATTCACTCAAATGATGAAGGCAGAACCCTTTCCCCCTCAAAGCATCACCTAACTATTGACAAAAAAAACATGTCCAACATAAGTTGTGACACATTTCATGTCTCAAATTCCCATGCATACATACCGCATAGAACACCACGATCGAGTTTCTTACTATTGTTTTCATCTTTGTAAGACTTTGCAGGAGATTGTGATCCAAATATCTGCACTGTTAGGCTTCCACCTCCAGAGAAACAATAAGCAAACATGAAGAATGCATATCGAAAACAAACAAGTATACATCAACCTACAAGATGCTTGGGGATATGCTGAAGTGCAGGGGAAAGGATAAAGCGTTAGTCTGAAATTGGATAAAACTTTATGCTAAATTCGAAGCATTGCGTTTATTGAGCAAGGGCGTGTGGTTTTTTCTTGGACTCGCAGTACTGACTTCTAGGGCGAGTCTGTCGGAATACCTCAGAGTCCCCCATACCTTCATGTTCCTCTGGGACCTGTCTTTCCTTCCCAAGATTGACAGCTGACCTGGGTCGTGGGAGGTGACCGAGTCTTTCATAAACCTTTGGGTCATTGATCTTTGAGCATATGTGGAAGGGATTCTCTCGACGTTGCTTTAGGAAGTCTCAGCAGTCATGATAAACGGCTTTCGATCCTTCCAACCCTTCTGCAAGGAGGTGTATTCCTCCACTTCTTCTACTTCGGGTCGAAGCATCTGGGTTGAGAGAAGTTTCATGTTGATCAATGTTTTGATGATTAGCTCGCTCCTCATCAGGGATACCCATGTTGAAAGGAGGTGACCCTCCGTGTTGGGGGGCACCCAGATGCTGGTTGATGTCCACAGGGGCAACGAGCTCGCGTGTTTGAGTACGCCTAGTTTCGTGGATCATCTCAAAGAGCTTCTCATACTGCTCTTGAAGGACCTCATTTTTCATTGCTATCTTATTGTTCTGAGCTTCTAGCTCATCGACTTTAGCTTGAAGAGTAACCCTCTTTCCTTCCTTCTTTCGTTGTTTCGCACTGGGTGCAAGAGGGGTGTCATTCTGTGTGATGTGGCTTCCTTTGCACCCCATGTTAGAGAGGGATGCCTGGTCAAAAGAAAGTGTATGAATGGTGGAAACCAGCTTGGCAAAGCTGAATAGAGTGGGAATTAGTGTCGTTCCCACAGACGGCGCCAAATGTTGATGCACAAAATCAGCGAGGACTTTGGTACAATAGAAAGTGTTAAGTTTGTGACCTTCGTTAGATTGCTCCGGTCACTAGTGTAGATAAGTAAGTAAATGGATAGGGACAGAGAAGCAAACACAAGATGTACGTGGTTCACCCAGATTGGCTACGTCCACGGAGTAGAGGAGTTCTCATTAATTGTGAAGGGTTTACACAAGTACATAGGTTCAAACTCTCCTTTAGTGAGTACTAGTGAATAATTTAGTACAAATGACATTAGGAAATATTGTGAGAGAATGATCTATATTTATAGAAGAGAGTTTCTAGTTTCATTCTGACATTGACACGTGTCGTGTTGTGATTGGCTTCTGATGTTGACACGTGTCGCGCAATGATTGGCTTCTGATGTCGAAACGTGTCGCGCTGTGATTGGTCTTCTGGTTGGAAGGAAACTCTTCTAGGTCCTTGACGGTATAACGTTGATCGGTGCTCAGTAATTTCGGGATTGATCAAATATGGTACAAACAGAGTTAAGTTTGAAACTTGTAGCGAGAAATATTACCATACGAAGAATTAGCGATACTAGTTCAATAAATTTAAAAGGCTTTTGTTTTATGTCCCCAACTAATGTTTGACGAAAAGATTTGTCCAATCCAGAACAAAACTGGTTCGGCCCAAAACAGACCCGGTCCACTCCACCGGTCTTCCAGTTAGACACGTGATACCCCTAACGCAAATTGGGGAAGAACGATGAGGTTTCAAGTCATCCTCTTGGGAAATACTAACGACGACGACTTGACAAGGCAAATGCAGATACCATGGTCGCCGGAAGCCGCTCCATCACGATCATGGCGAAGCTTTGCTTCCCTCTCCCGCTCAAACCATCTCTGCCATTCTCCTCTCTCGTCCAAATCCAAAACCCCGCCAACCCACCAGTTGGTTTGACCAAGCAAGCGTTGACCGCCCTCCTGCAATCATGCTCTGCGCACCCAAACCAACTCAAACAAATCCACACCGTCGTCCTCACGACCGGCCTCTCGATCAAGAACAGCCTCCTCACCCAACTCCTCACCAATTTCGCACTCTTAGGTGACATGTCGTATGCCCGCCAACTGTTCGACCAAATGCACAAGCCACGGGTTTTTCTCTGGAATACCCTTATCAGAGCGTATGTGAAAAACCGTATCTTTACGGAGGCTGCGTTAGTTTACAGGCAAATGCACCTTCTGGGTGTTCGTCCTGACCAGTTTACTTACACATTTGTGGTGAAGGCATGCTCCGAACTGCCCGAATTGTGGGCTGGATCGGCTGTTCTTGCCCATGTGGTGAAATATGGGTTGGAGTTTGTTGCCATGGTGAGGACTGAGTTGGTTGCAATGTGTGTGAAATTTGGGGAATATGGTGCGGCGGATTTTCTGTTTGAAACTATGGTTGAGAGAGATTTTATTGCTTGGAATGCTTTCATTGCGACTTGTGTGCAGAATGGACATGCCGGTAAGGCTCTTGCATTGTTCCGCCTGATGGATGCGGCTAGGATTAAGCCTGATGCTATTAGTGTTGTGAGTGCCTATTCGGCTTGCGGGCAATTGGGGTGTTTGGAGACCGGGGAAGAAATCTACGGGATCATGAAAAAATATGGGATCGGATGCAATATAATTGTCGCCAATGCACGGCTTGATATGTATGTGAAATGTGGTAGCATAGGAATGGCTGAGACTTTGTTTAAGGACATGTCTCAGAGAAATGTTATTTCCTGGAGCACTATGATAGTAGGATATGCCATAAACGGGGAGAGTGAAAAGGCGTTGGATATGTTTTTGAGGATGCGAAAAGCAGGTGTGCAACCAAACCATGTCACCTATCTGGGAGTTTTATCTGCATGTAGCCATGCTGGGCTAGTGAATGAAGGCAAGGCGTATTTCAGTAACATGGTTCAATCTGGTGACAAGAGCATCTGGCCGAAACTTGAGCACTATGCTTGTATGGTAGACCTTCTTGGACGGTCAGGACATCTTGAGGAGGCCCATAATTTTATAAGAACTATGCCAATTGAACCAGATTCTGGATTATGGGGAGCTTTATTGGGTGCCTGTACAATCCACCAAAATGTTGAACTGGGCCAGCATGCGGCTGATATGCTTTTCAAATTAGCTCCTGATATTGGTTCATATCATGTCTTGATGTCAAACATGTATGCGGCTGCTGGAAGGTGGGATTTCGTCGACAAGTTGAGGCTCAGAATGAGAAAACGAGGTGTCAAGAAAGTGGCTGCCTACAGCTCGGTTGAATGTAATGGAAATTTCCATATCTTCTATGGTGGAGACAGGTTGCACCCGGAGTCAGCAGAAATATATGAGAAGTTGAAGGACTTACTGAAACAAGTGAGAGTGTAGGTTACGTTCCAAATACCAGTTATGTGTTTCATGATGTGGACATAGAGGAAAAGGAAGCCACGGTAAGCACCCACAGTGAAAAGCTTGCCGTCGCATATAGTCTCATAAATTTAAGGCCCGAAAGCCCCATTAGGGTGGTGAAGAATTTGAGAATGTGTGACGACTGCCATAGTTTTTGTAACTTTGTCTCTAAAGCTACCAAAAGGGAGATTGTCATGAGAGATAAAATCCGTTTTCATCATTTTAGAAATGGAGATTGTTCGTGCAACAACTTTTGGTGATCGCAAGAAACAGTGATGACTTTGAGGTGATAAAGGTACGGAGATGTATTTTGGTTGTTGGTTTCCTCTTAATTTTCAGGTGTCTGATTCGAGAAGAACCACTGATGAGCTCACAACGGATACTAACTATTGGCTACGTAAATAATACTTGCACCAGCTTTTGCACTTGTACTGACATATGGAAGGAAGGACAAAGTATCGACGCCAGCAGATATCTCATCTTTGGCAAATGCCAAAAAGTTGGATTTCCAGCATGAACATCTGCACAGCACATTGGTTTGTAACGTTTCAGTTAAACTCATTTACAGCACCCAAGAATTTTGGCTCAGAATGTGAAACTTGTGTGCAATGTTATCCCCCCAACATTCATAAAAAAACGTTACCAGCTGTTCTAGTTTTCTTCCTGATTCTTTAGCATGCCTAAGGGAAGCATTGAGAAATGGCTTCAGTCCCACAACTGATAGATTGCAGAAGCTAAACGCGGTGGCGGGTGTTGCCTAGGCATTTTAACATCTCTATCATGGTTATTCATCATATTCGGTTCACTGTGATACGATGCCAACTATTGTCCTGCTTGATCAAGATACGGTTGCACATTCATCTGACTTTGGCTTTCCAAACTCTAGGGAAAAGGGGCATCTACTAACCAAGACCCTTGCTACGGTTGGACATACAGCATCATGTAACGTTTCTAACTACTTGATTAATTTTCTTTTTCTGTTTTCGTTGAAATTCTGTTCATTATATTATCGTGAAGGAAATCAAATTTGATTGATAAAAACTAGTCAAAGTTGTGATTTTTCTTGCTAGGTAGTGAAGAGAAATGTAACATGCTGTGCATCGCATATTGCGGTAACAGAGTCCAGAAAATACGTGAGATTTCTAGCAAATGTAGCAAGGCCAAAATGTGTAGCTTGAGCACTTTAAATGTACAATAAAAGATCAACAAAAATGCATATCTGCCAACATTAAAAGTTTTCATCTGCCATGAGAGCCTCCCTTTTTGGGAATCTCTTACGAATAAAGACTTGCATGCAATCTCAGAACGTCTCTCTCTTTCTTTCTGCTCTTGGGGTACCCCCAAGCCCCTTCTCAGTTTATGCCTTTTTCTTTTCTCATCCTCTCCCAAGTCCTTTCTGATACCACACTATAAGCCCCTTAAAATAGTAAGCTATATGTTATTATGCAAGCGGAGAGAAGTTTTTTTTCAAATATCTCTCCACTTATTTAATAACATATCGCGCGTGTCCGTATTCTGGACACATATCTCGATGTTTTGGTAGAAGGAACTCCGTTTTGGCAATCTTATGGCCCTGCTAGTGTTTTTTTTATTATTAATGTTTAACTTTTTCCAGCATAAAAAAAATCAATAAAAAAATAGTTATATGACTTGATAAATTGTAAGGCTGGTTTTAAATGACTTGTAACGTAATCCATACAGCCACAGGCAAAAAAATCTTAAGAAAACTCATGATTTTTTTCACAAAAACCGCGAGCTATACTTATGATATTAAAGTACATAAATTATGAGTAGGAAAAATCTGTAGATGTTATTGTGTTGTTAAAACGAATATAATAATTTAAAATACAAGAGGAGAAGAACAAAACAAAACTGATGATATACAATGAATGAAAACAGTATCTCAAATTCTGGCATTTTTCTGGGATTCTCTGTAAAAACTCAAAGTATCCTGCTCTCTTTTGAAGCTGTCACAAAACCCAACTTGGACGTTCCTTATTACCGTTCTTCCAAGAAACATGTCTGTCGTTAAACGAAAGGAAATGCCAATAACCCCCTCCATTCACTATTTGTTCAATCAGTAAGTACTACGACTCCCCCAAGGTCTTAATCTACTTGTTTGGTGGGTGCATATTATCTTATATTATTACGCTGCTATTTGGGCTTTGAGTTTTGAGATTAACTTGCATGGCGTAGTATATTGTTACGGTGATGTTTTATGTCATTTAATAAAGAGAAACTTACGCTAATGAGAGTAATATTGACACAAAACATAACGACAATACTGTCTTGTATCGTGCAAAAGCAAGACCTTCTCAGGTGTTTCTTACCACCACTTGTTTAAATTTACCGAGGATTGAAGAAGATCCATTTGGTAGGATATATCAATCCTTGAAACGAATTATCATTACCTATATCATCAAGTTGTAATGATGCTGAATGCGACCTACATTGATAGCATATATGATGAATTATATATATATATATTTTTTTTTTTTCGCTTGCTAATTTTGTGATAAACTGGGCCTTCCAGCCAAGTTGTCCGCCAGTACCTTTTGTATTTAGTCTCATTTATCTCTACGCTAGTCCCACATAACTAAATGTATTGCCCTCTACCAATGTCCGCTCACACAGGCTATAAATGTATATCTCTTCTCTCTACATTGTTCATCAAGTAATACATCATGTGTCATTAAGATATAGAGAAAATGGTAATAACAGATGATTTAGTGAAGGTGTTGATTGAAGGACCCACAAATAAAAATAAAAATGTCTTCGAAAAGACAAAAACAAAAGACCTAGCAAGCAATAGAATGCAAAACCTTGGGGGGTGGGTGGAAGCAATAAACGGGTTTTATGGGAGTTGACATAGAGAGAGATGAGGTGGTTGCATTTCGATCAGAGCCTCTTTAACTCTTTCATCACACATTTATGAACGACTCCAGGCAAACATTCATTTCATGGGGAAAGACCCACTTTAATTAACTAAGTAATTCCCACAAACAAATTATTAACCTAATTAATTGACACCAAAATGCGAGTATGAGACGATGGTTCAGAGTACAAAGAGTAGATGATGGTTTAGAAAAACTTGGAAATAGACTTCTAAAAAAAAAAATATGAAATATTTAGAACTAGTGAAAGATATGACGTAATGACATTTTAAAATTTATTAGTGCAAACCCATTCAATGCGATAAGGTACAATTGTTGTTTTGTTTATTATTAGGTGTCGACCAGCCCAGAATCTTTTGATTTTTGAACTCTAATTAATTAAGTAAGCAAAAACTACTTGATTAGGTTAGCTGAAATAAATACCTTTTTCTGTCCTCTGGCCAATTTTGGGTTTGCGGGCTCCTAGTTATATATATATTTTTATAGGATTCACATATATTAATTCAGTTTCTACACAACTCAATTCCAAGGAAGTTTCCTTGGCTTTGTTTAATTGTGGATCAAACCTTGAGAGCTTGAACTTTGTTTTGTCCGCAGGTGACATTGAAAACATTGAGGGACAACTAATCCCTATTATGTAAAGCTTAATTTTTTTTTTTAAATGCATATCCTCCTCCTCTCTCAGTTTCATCTTCTTCTTTCTCTGTCTACAAAGAAAGTAAAACAAGATGATGATGATGTGGTTTAATCTTGAGCATTTAAATAAGTGGGAATCGGGGTAGGAAGAGAAAAATGAGACGGGAAAGAATCCAGATTCCTAAAGGACCGCAAGTTGTGGCTGCCCTCAATTTTAATCTAACAAGAGCAACCCAACTAAAACAAGGCAAGAAGAGTTGTCCTAATACCCTAGAGTTGTCGTTTCTAGGATTTTGGGACAATCCTCACATAAACTAAGACAAATATGAGGTTGGATAAACAAAAATACAAAGGGTCTCAAGTTTTTATGAAATTACGTACTTTACAAATTATGGAAGTTACAATTAGAAAAGTAACTTAACTTATTTTGCCCATGCACAATGTTTTTTAAACTTTCCGAAGATCTAAAACATTAACTTCGTATCTTAAAAAAAAATGACGTGGTCCGAATTTCTCTTTGTAAGTTTCTTTCCAAGGAATGGGAGGTGGCTTTTTGAAGTGTAAAAAATGGGGGAGTGCCCGATGAGTGCTCCATGCAAGAAAACCTTTAGCACCATTAGTACATGTTGGGAGAAATGCACCCTAAATCCTGAGGAAGCGTGTTGGCCCATAGGGACGGGCATCCTCTTTGAGAGCAAAAGAAAATGATGCATTTAAGTCAAATGCAGATCTAGGAACAATCAATCAAAAATAGTCCAATAGCCAATATTTATTTCAGAGGACTTACAACCACATGAGCCATGCCCTACTTGCCCACGTGGCTCATTAATAGACGTTCATGTTTTACCCTAATAGGTTGAATGCTAGATGTACCTTAGACCAGTGGTCATGATCATTTGCTTTGAATCAGCGCTGTGTGATTAGGTCTAATTGCACTGTTGGGGAAGAAGCACTAATCGCACGGTTGGATCTACCTAACAGTAAACTATACACAGTCCAATTTATACTGTTTTTAGCCTTGTTCATGCGAAGCCCTGCAGTATGTCACATGATGTATCGGACGGACGCAATAGTTTATCAAGGATTTAATAATTCTTGCATAGAAAAACAAGAAACCCTAAATCCAACACTTTAGACTTAGATCCAAAGGCATTTACAGTCTAGCTAAGATTGATTCTGTAGCTATACATTCTGTGCTGCAAGGCAACAATGTGAATGTGTAGGGTTATGGGGGAGCTCTGAACCATGACATGAACAAAATTAAAGAGGAGAAGAATATATAATGACTAGGTTTAGCAATGATTTGAAGCTCTCTCACAAATTAAAAAAAAATTCTAAACATACAGAGAGAAAGGGTAAGTAAGAGCAATTTTATGAGTCACTGCAAAAAGAAAACAAGAGCATTAACTAGCCTTTCCAATTTTTTTCCTTCCTCTTACTAGTCTCTGCATTTGCTCCTCTGCCCGTAACCCTAATCGTCAAACCCTACTGGAAAAGGCTAAAGCCATGCTCTCATTCTTTCTACCTCAAAAACAACAAAAATAAAAGAAAAGAAAAACTGATGACATAAAGATGTTACAGTCATATTTCACTTGAAAATTCTAGCTAGCTAACTGTAGCTAAGCTAGCAGTAGTACGTACTGGAATACACAGGAGAAACAGCGGAAGCGGCCGTGCAGTGACATAGTAAACCCTAATCACAACCACTGATATCGAAATCAGAACATTAATTGAGTTCGATATTAGTTAGTTGTGAAGAGGGTTTGGACCTGTATGAACTATTCTCTTGTCATCTCCGTATAGCTTGCCTGGGTCACCGTTGATCGCCGGAAGACGATGAACATGGTGAGATGGACTACTCGAAGGTGCGTAAAACGATACCTTGCCCAAAAATCGTGCTTTCCTCTGCGGCGATGACCTCATTATCCGACCGGTCCACTCATTGTCGTGACTGGTACTAGTAGTAGGAGTACTGGCAAAAACCATCAAATTACTCGTTTGAGCAAATATTAAAACGACACAGAAGATGAAAATCGCAATGCTTCTAGCTTGTCTACGACCATTTCTGCTTCCTTTTCTTGTTCCACCTTCTCCAGCAGCTCTCATTGCACCAACTAAAATTTTTGTATAAATGCCAAAGACTAACAAAGCTCATAAAACTAAAAATGTAGTGTGAGTAATAGTACTACTTCTGGGAAAAGTGGCTTTTTTGGCAGTGATTATCAGTGAAGAGAAGAAAAAAACAAAAAAAAGCTTAGAACCTTTTGCTGCTTGTTGGATTTTCCTCGTCTTGTGGGTCTGAAGGCACATGAGCTTGACCCTTGATCCCTGGAACCTTCGTATATTTTTTTATTTCATCACTTCTGAGAGACTTGGGAGTCTGCACCTTTTACTCACCCCACCACCACTCACCACTGCTTTGCTTTGCTCTTCGGTATCTGTTTGGTTTTTTGTGTGCTTTGATGTTTTTTTTATATATAATATACATATTTATAATGTTTCTCATATAGTCATATATGCTGCTGGCTTGGACTTGGAGACGGTGTGGGACTGTCCAGTATTAATAGCCGTTGTCCCCGGAACATTTTCAAATCTAATCTAGCAATGTGGAAAGAAAAAAATATGGAGCCTTATACTAAACCAACTACCTCTTACGATATGTTTCCTAAATCGTAATCGGAACTCAAATAAAAAGTTAGATCTTGATTATGAATCATTCTTGTGTTTATAAATTGTAGGGTGAATTGCCAATTTAGTTCCTGAATTATCACCTCAGTGAAAATTAGGTTTCTGAACTATTTTTTCAAAAAAATATGTCATTGAATTATAAAAATCTAACAATTACATTCATAATAGGGTAAATTATATAATGCCCCCTCAAGTTTGGGTCCAATTACAACCTAATACAACATCTTTAAAACATTTCAATCTCATACATTTACTATTTATTTTTTTCAATTTCATACAACCGTCTCTTTTCCTGTTAGTCCTTCTGTTAACTGCCTACGTGACTGGCAAGTCGGACATGTGGATTAAAAATTTAATTTTTTTATTATGTTTAAAATTAATTAGAAATTCAACTAAAATTTTGAAAAGATAATTGAATAATTAAAAAATAGAAAAAAGTTTCAAACACCCAGAAATTCATCTCTTCATGTTTTTCCATTTCCACTTGGTCCACTCAAGGACCAGAAGTCCCAGCAGAAGCTCAACCTCAAATTCGACGAAGTCGCACTGAGATCTAAGCCTCTGACGGAAGGCAGAGGTCGTCTAAAAGTCGTTGAAGATGAGCTCGACGAAGCCACATTGAACCTAAAGCCGAAATCCCCAAAACCCAGATTTCGCTGCCCTTCGATTTTGTTCCAAGCAACCAGTAGAATACCAAAATCCCCAAACTCCCTTTCAATTTTGTTGCTGGCTGCGTCTCGCGATTCCGATCGACGCCAATTCGAGGATAGAGTGAGAGAATGAGGAAGAGAAAGAGATGGATGAGGTCGTCGGGATCAAGTGGAAAGGCATCAATGGTGTTTGTAGGGGAGGGGAAATAGGTTCCATCTTTCCTTTTTTTTTTTTTAATGGGTAATCTGTTTAAGATCTTATATATTTTTTTGGTTGATTCTTGTATTGAAAACAAATATGGGTATTTTTTTTATGGGGGAGGGGTTGTTGTTTGATCATGTTGCTGGTTGTTGTTTGGGTTGCAGATGGGGGAAGAAATGGGTAGCAAGTGAGGACACGACTTGGAAGAAGAAATCGAGGCACTGGTTTGAGGTGGTGAGGAAGGTGGGGCAAACTTCATAGTGAGGCCTTGGGGTTTTCTGGGTTGCTCCGGGCTTTGCAGATGAGGAAATTGATGGTGATGGTTATAGATGAAGAAGCTTTGTTGGTGCGGAAGTGATGGGGGATGTGGGTGGTTATGGTATCGTCATATCCCGGCCCGGGCCACCACCACATCTCGGGCTCGACTCCACCGTAGCACGATATTGTACGCTTTGAGCCCCGACACGCCTCACAGTTTTGTTTCTGGGAACTCAAACGAGAACTTCCCAGTGGGTCACCCATCATGGGATTGCTCTCGCGCAAACTCGCTTAACTTTGAAGTTCCGATGGAACCTGAAGCCAGTGAGCTCCCAAAAAGCCTCGTGTTAGGTAGAGATGAGAATATACATATAAGGCTTAGAGGATCCACGCCTCTGGGCGATGTGGGATGTTACAATCCACCCCCCTTAAGGGCCCGACATCCTCGTCGGCACGCATCTGGGCAGGGATTGGCTCTGATACCAAATTGTCACATCCCGACCTGGGCCCCTACCACATCTCGGGCTCAACTCCACCGTAGCACGATATTGTCTGCTTTGGGTCCCGACCACGCCTTCACGGTTTTGTTTCTGGGAACCCAAATGAGAACTTCCCAGTGGGTCACCCATCCTGGGATTGCTCTCGCGCAAACTCGCTTAACTTCGGAGTTCCGATGGAATCCGAAGCCAATGAGATCCCAAAAGTCCTCGTGCTAGGTAGAGATGAGAATATACATACAAGGCTTAGAGGATCTACTTCCCTGAGCGATGTTGGATGTTACAGGTAGAAGGGTGACTCAGGTGGGGAAAAGGGTGGTGGTGGTGGTGGGAGAAGGGGTGGCTTAGGTGGGGAAGAAGAAGATGAAGATTTGTGTTTTTTTCTTTCTTTAATTAATTATTTTAATGTTTTAAATTTTTTTATTAAGTGTTTAACCACATGGCACAAATGTGGCAGCCACATCAGCACAAATGGGGACCCTATATTTGCCATGTCATCACTTAACGGTCAACTTAATATATTTTTTAACGGTTGTATGAAATTGAAAAAAAATAATAGTAAATGTATGAGATTGAAATGTTTTAAAGATGTTGTATGAGGTTGTAATTGCACCCAAACCTGAGGGGGTATTATGTAATTTACCTTTCATAATATTATATTCAAAGCTACTATATTCAATTTTATGTCAATTTAAGTTAGATTACTTGCATGTGATAAACATTGGAGGGTAGATTAGTAGTTTTTCAAAAGAAATGTTGGAGTTAATTTTGGAGGGTAAATTGGGAGTTTTTCATAAGAAATAGTGTAAGTTAACTTTAGAGGGTAGTTTAGACTTTATATTCGCAACCTATATGAAATGTTAAGAGCTTATAGGCGAGAAAAATAACAGTATTACACTCTAAAGTGTGTCAAGTGACTTAAGTTGACAAAAAATTGGATAAAATAGTTTTGATTATAACAGTAGGGATGAAAGTAGCAATTTTTAATAAATCTAGAAACTTATTTTACTGAAAAAATAATTTCAAAAACCTAATTTTTACTAAAGTGATAGTTCAACGACTAAATCGGCACTTCACCTTAAAGCATATAAGAATGAAAGTAAGAATGAGCCTATAGTTCAATATAATAAATTAAATTTAATTCTTGATTTTGGAGAAAATTCGACTTTTGCCCGGATAGGAAGTGGCATTCTAACTTCTAGATAAACAACACATTAGAATTCATTTTTTATCCAGTTTATCCTCGCATCATTTCTAAACTTTCAAGCTTGCCTAAGAAAATAAATTTTTTTCAGAACAAGAGCATCTTAGTAATTAAAATAGTTTTAAATTTGATTGAGAGAAATCAATAAACAACTTATACGGAATCAAATATTATTTTTCCAATTAGAGGTATCTTAAGTAAACAACTCTAATGCAAGTTCTAATTTCGACTCCTCCTCAATCTAATTCATAATTGCTGACTTGAAACTAGTAAACATTTCATCAGTATAGTAGTACTTCTCTCCTTAACGTACACGACGTTTCAAATTAAAATCCCACATTACAATCATTAAAGAAATAGTAAAACTCAATCGTTGTACCGTCTTATGGTTTATCCATTGATTGTGACACCAATAATTTTTTTCCTTTTGGTATGTAGCTAGGGATGTACTATAATTTACCTGAATCTCTCTCTCTCTCTCTCTCTAATTTCATGGATTTTACTATTCTTTTACCATGCTTCAACTCTTTTGTCCTCACTAGCTAGGTAGGTACAATATGAAGATTTTGTTTTTGTATTTGCACAGCTAATACAAAAACGTCTTGATCTTCATCTGATTGTTCATTGTTACTTACGTTACACACACTTGATCATTTTGATTTTAATTTAATTAATTAACACTTACCCAAACTCAGATCGAGCCAATGCTTAGCGGGCCTATGGCCTGCAGTCTGAATATGGGCCGTCAAATGCATCCCGTCTGAGGAGAAAGGCCCACTATTTGGACGTGGGGTTAAACTGTGGTCCCTGTATATATCTAAGATTTTTAGTTTTCGGTATGTTCTGGCATCTTTGCCTTGGAATGAAAATTCTCAGTTTACCAAAAAATAAAAAAAAAGATTTTTAGTTTTCAATTTTCGACCAATAGAAGAAAGTTTTCAACTGAAAATTAAAAACATAATATTTGTTTGATAATTTTTTTTAGTTTTCTAATTGAATGAATTATCAAATAGATTTTAGAAGAAATATCGTTTGGACGAGAGAAATAAATTTGAAATTTGAACAATGTTCAGAGTTTATAAATTGACATGCACTAATTCGCCTTTTTAAATTATAAACATAAAAATCTAAATTTTCTGCGTGGAAAAAAATCTTAAAATTTGAGACCTCAAATTTTCATATTTAAATTATATATAAACATGTGTCATTCCATAAAGTTCTATGAGCGAGAATTTAAATATAACAAATTTCGTATTCAAATTTCATTGTTATTTTAGATTAATCAAATAAAAAAATTCATAAATTCTAAAAAAATAGAACTCGATCATTTTTAAATTTTTTCGTCGAAACAAAGTATCAGATTTCATAAATTAAAATTTGACAAAAAAAAAATAAAATCTAATGGTGGAGAGAAGAGAGAGAACAAAACGCTGCAGAAACGAGTGGTCACCGACTCACCCTTTGGCTTTATCATTGCTTATGAAATTAGAATTTTGGTAGGACTTGGATGCGAATTGGGGAATATGCTCATCAGGAGGGGAGATTCCCAGCGTCATGCGCATCTTCTTCCCCTTTCTCCTTCCTCCCAACTCAACTGAATTAACTCCCCTTCCTTTCCTCACCTCCACCAATCCCACCCAGGTTCTCTCTCTCTCTCTCTCTCTCTCTCTCCCTCTCTCTCTGTGTTTTGGTTGTACAATTTTCTGTGATTTTTCTAATGTGAATGTTGGTGTCTTGCCTGCTTTGTAATTAATGGGTTTCTTTTGGTTCTGGGGAGAATTTTATTATTTACTTTCTGGAGAAAATCAGGTAATGGATTTTGGTCCGGGGTCGGGATTATATCATGCACACAACCTGTTTGATAAAATGTCACTTCGAAATCTAAGTGCTTCTGGGCCGTCCGGTTATGTTGATTCAAAATTGCACTTTAACCACATTTGCTCAAACTAATTCCTGCTCGATTGAATTGATCCATTTGTCTTGCATGTGCACCACAACACACAAATTCTGGGCCGGCCGGTTATCTGGTCTTGTGGGTGATTTCGGGTTTTAGTTCTTTATGACCCTACTTAAGTTACATTGAGGTTTCTGCCTGGCTAGCTAATACAGTTCATTTTGTAACAACGGTTCTTACTTTGATTGCTTAAAAGATGCAATGCAGCAGTACAACTTAGAAACATACACGGGTCCGGGATAGCTTGTAGTATACATGTTTAGATTAATTTCCAGGGTAAATTTGGCGATACGGTTTAAAAAGATTCGAGCTTTTCTTTTCGATGCACGCTTTATTTGTAGCTTCAGTGGTTGCTCAACGTTATGATTTGTTCTGCTCTTAATTTGTGGAAGTACTGCTGCTGTTTTGTAGTGGTGCACTTTTAAGCAGTATATTGGCTCGCAGCCAGCACGCTTCTTCCAACATTTGCCAGCAAGTGATTGCTGGCAAAAGGTATTTCAATTATGAGTCCCAAAAGTACATTGAACCCGAGCAGAGCCCTACAGGGCATGCATGGGGTGCATGTGGTGTCCAGTTCTCGGTTTGAGTCAGAAGAGACTACTCAAAATGACCTTTCTCACTCAACTTATGGAACCTCACCTATTGGAGCAAATCAGCAGCTTTTTATGCAGTGAGTGAGAAACCTAATTAATGAGACTTGTTTTTCAACATATGCTATTAATATTTTGGATTATGAATAGTTCCCATCAACGAGACAAGACTAAGCGATATTTATTTAAGATAATTGTGATGAATTTCTGCAGTCTTGATGTCATGCTACATTCAAATATTTATTTAACTTTGTCTACTTGTTTTCAGGCGAGTGTGGCAGCAAAGACCGCCATGCTTGAAACTCATCCAGGGCTGCTGCATTCAAGGTATTTTAGATACAAAAGCATTTTTTTTAATCTTCATCTGGTTTGCAATTCAATTTCTTGCATGACAAACAAATATTTGCTTACATATTTTCCCTTTTTATCAGGTGATCAGAGTGTTGCAGAAACAGTCGTGAATGTGCTCACTTCACTTCCTTTTATAGTTCTTGGAATCCATGCCCCGAGGTAATACTTTTTTGGAAGTCAGTTGATAGACATAAACGTAATCTTACTGATGCATCAGGTTTATTAAATTTATCCTCCTTGGGGAAGCAGGAAGAATCTAAATACCAAGCTATATGCTAATTCATTAATCGGAGTTGGAGTCGCCTCAAGTTTATATCATTCTTCAAGAGGAAAACTAAGGAAATATTTAAGATGGGCCGACTATACGATGATAGCCACAACAACAGTAGTAAGTCAGATAAAAATCCTTAAATAAGCAATAGTTGGCCGCACTCTTTATTATCAGCATCCGTGAGCTTTTTCTGGACGATGGCAAATTGCTTGAGTCAATATTAAACTCATAAAAATATTGTAATGGCAATACTTCCCTCAAACTTGAATGTATGGAATCATGTATCATATATAGAATTGTTAGAGCTTAAGAGGGATTTTCCACTTAGAAATCATTGCTCGATTCAAGCACTAAAAGTCTAAGATATAATGCTTCTCCACCTCCTGCTCTCTGAACATTTACCTGGATTTTATTTATCTGAAGAAGTGCTACGATTAATTTGTACATACTCAAAACTCATCTTTGGCATGTTTACATGGATTATGCCCTGCCAGTTGCGAATGTGTCATTTCTTGTACGAATTATTAGTTGTATCTGTATATTTTGTTTCTGTAAAGTTTCTCAGTTGCTCTCTTAGGTATATAATCGGAAAAGGATCAACTCAAATTTTTGCAGTGTCTATCAAGAGCCCTCAGAAATGAAAACCCAAAACTGCTGACAGCAGCTTCTGCATTATTTTTACCTTTCCAGCCTCTGATGGTTTCTGCCGTTCACACGGGATTAATGGAGGTAACTTTTAAGATTTAACCACCATTCTATATCAATTTTATGACTAGTGTCATCCTTGTTGGAAATGGTGCGTGATCAGCTAGTAATAGGTAAAATCATCCGACCATGATATTTATGATTTGAAAAATCTACGGTTTTAATGCATTTACAGAGTCTAGTATCTACAACTCTGCTTTGTGGATGAAGCTTGACAAATCTGGAAACATGTTTTATGGAAGTAGGCTGTTAAATATCACGAAATTCATACTTAAAGCTTGCAACTTTCCGGTAATTGTATGGAAAAGGACCATGTTAGTAATTAGTCATAGCCATAGGTAACCTGAAAAGTTTTATGTTAAGCTCCTCTCACTTTCAGCTAAAACTGTTTCCACTTTTCTCATCACCCGTTATTTCTTGTTTTCAGGTAGCATTCGCCAAGAGAGCATTGAAGGATCCAGAGCTAAGAATGGCCCACAATGTACATAAGATGTCATCACTATTGGGAGGTGTTCTGTTCATTGCCGATGACATGTTTCCTCAGACTCCGTTCCTTCATGCTGCGTGGCACCTTGCTGCAGCCGTCGGTGTTGGCACCTGCAATAAGCTTCTGGAGTAGCCATCATTCAAACAGATAGAAGACCTGGCTAGCAGGCTAGATGCAATTCTACAACCAAATTTGTCGATCCAACCTTATTATTTTGCAGAATGCCACCGGAATTATTATTTAGTTAATATCTAGGTAAAATCATAGGCGCAGGGACAAGGTACGAGGTACGAGGTACGAGGGTTGTCTGAGAAAGTCGGAACAATAGTAACTAAAATTTTCCGATTGACATGTAAATAAGATAATAGCATTATTATTGTTGCTGGTGGATATTCTGTGTAATTGAAAAATAGTGGCAAACAATTTCAGTACTAAAAGGGAGTATGAGATCACTTAATATTTTGTGTCATTTACTGAACAAACAGTGACTTGAGCGTTAAAGTGTCTTTTACAAGCTCCCTTCCTCCCTCAATGACGACAAGGGAATATGTGTGTCGTGCTTCTCAACATGTCTACAAGATTATTGTTGGAGGATTTGAATTTTTCCGCTCCCATATAAAAGCGCATAAGAGCGAAAATAAGTGTGTAGAAATCATTTTCTGAAGAAAAGAGAGGCCAATAGCAAGAGAAGATTATAAATTACAATGATATATGGCTCGTCCAAAGAAACAAATGTCTCAGCGTTCATCGACTTTCTTGTCGACAACCCCTTGTATATGTAGATGTTCTCGGGAACTTCGAATACCGAATACCTCGATCAGATAGCCCTCCTTGAGATCTAGAGATCAAGTTTCAGGTCAGAAGAAGATACGTACAGAGGCTCTGGCTCCACTTTTCTCCTGATCCTGCAGGTTAAACATAAAACCATGCACATTCTTCAGAAAAATTCAGTTCAGACTTCAGAGGTCGGAGACGCTCAAGAAAACGCCGAAAATTATTCCAAATCCAGAAGGGACATTTAAGTTACAATCCTAGACACCGCACGAGCCCTACGCCTAAGGTGGTACTCGGGAGATTCTCTCATTCGTACCACTAGCAACCGGTAAAGCTCAGTAATTCTACAAAGAGAGACGTAATTACCAGTTATCTTGAGACCATCTGCAGCCATCGGTATCCACCACGTGCAAGCTGTACGCGTGCCTTGATTTTAAGGATTGGTTCTCGAAACTGCAGTTGAAGCATTTGACAGGAAAACGGCAAAATTAAGCTCTTTAGAACCACCCGACTGTATAGGTCGTACCCAGTGCACAAGGCTCCCGCTTTACGCAGGGTCTGGGAGAGGTGAATGTCGGCTAGCCTTACCCCCATTTATGGAGAGGCTGCTCCCAAATATTTAAAGGATCAACAGAAAGAGTTTATTTGAACTGACCTTTGATGAATAAGATCACCGTGAATAACAACTAAAGACCCAGCTTTCACTTCGATGGGAACAAAATCCTTTTGATCATACTCAGGGGAAGGCCGATCAAAGGTCACACCGTCTTCACCTCTAATGAACCGTCTCACAAGCCCATCTGTTAAACAACATAAAGACCGATTACAAGAAAGAATTACTAGGCAAAACAATTTCGAAGCCTTTCCAGCTCAGAAGCAGAAAATTAAAATAGGCAAAGATATCATTTAGGGAAGAAATAAAATAGAAAGAAGATGTGGAGGAGAATGCTACTCTTTTGAGATCCAGGAATAGCCCATAGGCAGCCATTCGTTATTGTTGCATCTTCTAAAGCCAGCCACAGCCCTGTGCAAGTTGGTGGATCGGTATAAAGAAATGAGTTATCCTGATGTGGCACTACCTCACCTCCGATTCCTGGTTGCTGCCAACAATATTCTTGCAGATTAGTTTATGCATACTTGAAGAAAAACAACCAGTATAAACATATAACATAACCAATCTCTCGAACACAAACTATGTTCCGAAACTATGTCAACTTAAAATCATGCAATCAAGGTTTAGAGCCTTCAAATCATAATATTGCTAATTCACAACTCTGTGGACACAAGTGATCCCATTGTAGACCTAGTCCCAACAAAATAACAAAAAACTTGTTCTAAGCGGGGTGAGGCAGGTATCTCGATAAAGACTTGCCCCTCTCTCCCTAATTATGTGTGTGCATACCTGTATAAAAACTTTTGTATTTTTATATGCAAGTGTTTTCATATAAGTGTAGAAATGTCAATCAAGTGTTCCCCATCTGCAACCACGAACACCAGTCTATATGTACAAGCCTCCATGCCAATTGTAAATTGTATCTAGTTATTCCAAATGCACTGTTTCTAATATTTTTAGGGTTCTTTCAACCAGGTAGCCTTATTTCATCCAAATGGACCTTAAGTCTTCATCAATAAAAACTAAAAAAGCCGCAGAACTAAGCATTAAACACGAGCGAAGATGTAATACCTTGAAAATGTACATAGACTGAATGACAATGGGCCTTTTGTAACCCAAGGAGATGAACAAGCCTGAAACTTTTTCGGAAAAGGTGAACCCTTTAAATACTGGATCGAGCTCATGTAATGCTGCACCAACAGACCACACGTTTTACACTCTCAGTTCGAGTTAAAAACGCAGAGACAAAAACCACAATCCATTTCTATAACTTTTATGATAAAGATAAAACTAAAGGGTTCGTGGAAGTGGTTCAGAGCTTACCATGGCCAACTTTGTTAATCGAAAGTTCCTTCGGCTGTCGCAGTTCTCCATCACTCCCAAAAGCTTTCTCTGCCAAAATTAACAAGTCCCAACATGTTAAGATGTGCTAATTAAGTGTTCAATTTCACTATTGGAATAAATTCAAGTCACTTAAAATTCAAAGTTTTTTAACAAAGAAATGCAACAAAAACATACAAACAGGAATCCAAGTAGGGGCTCGTTTGGAAGTGTATTTAAAATGACATAAAGCGGTTTTACTGAAATTGATTATGGGTCCAGAAGCACTTAAAAAGTATTTTTTTGGAAAAAGTGTCAGATATGTACTTGTTGCAGGAAGCAATTCAAGTGCTTTTCGAAAGTCCAATTAAGTGATTTAGCGGTTATCGAAAACTGATTACTGAAACATAAATCATACCTTCGAAGAAAAACGAAATTATGTCAACGCTATCATAGAAGTAATTGTCAGTAGACTGCTGCTGCAAGATATAATTAAAAGGGAAGATTTAATTACAGAGAAACATACACAACTAGCTAAAAATTATGATAAAAACATGATAAATTAATCAAAAAGAAAAAAGAAACAGAAACCTGGTTGGTGGTGGAGAAAATAGAGGCGGTGGAAGAGCAGTCAAAGTCCTGGAGCAATTGGTCCATTCGGTTCCTCATGGCCTCGATGTCCTCCGCGCTCGCAAACGATTCCATCACAAGATAACCTGCGTGTCCATAAAAACAATTTAACAACAGACATGATTCAAGTCAAAAACCAAAAACTAGTGTTTTCTTCGGATAATACGAGGTAATTAGGAGGTTAATTACGGTTTGGTTTGGTTGCGTTACCTTGGGAGTGGAAGGTCCGGAGCTGGTCAGGACTGAGATTTCCGACGATTCCCATGGCGTCTGAGACTGCGAGGAGCAAACAAACAGGTCGTCAAACGTTGGCAATCTTGGATTCCATATATTCACGCGGGAGTAAACTGCCGTTTACTATTACCCCGGTTGAAACTGAGCCACTCCACTAATTTGTTTTTGATAAATTAACCCAATGAATAATATGAAATTAGCCATTAACCTCTTGCCGTCGGATTCAATGAAATTTCATTCATTTTGCCGTTAAATACTAGCACATGATCAACACGTAATTTATTTTTTAGGGTAAAGTCGTGCTAATATTTAACAACAAAGTGGATAAAATTTTACCGAAGCTGACAATGAGGGGTTAATTGGTTAATATCAAATAGTTTAGAAAGTTAATTTACCAAAAAATTAATTCAGGAGTCAATTCAACTAGAGTAATAATTCAAAGAGTCAAACACAGGTATACCCATTCTCGCAGGGTTTGTCAAATTTACTCGTATCTTCTGATAAGATCAGAAGTCAAATTTAATTACGGCTAGTCTCGTTGTGATATTAAGAGTTTGTTCAAATTTTGTTTGTAAATATCTCATCATTTGTAAAAAAAAATAAAAATAAAAATAAAATTATCAACAAAAATTCGACGAGAAAAAAAGTAAAAATTGACGAATTGCATCTCCGATTGGGTTTTATACCGTTGAACCCTCACCAATTTTGGGTCAGGCAAGCGAAGTAAATCCCCACCAACGGAAAAACTGGATCAAATCACGTTCTGCCTTTTGAAAGTGGTGTAATGGACAAAATCTCCACATGCCCACGATCCGTATACCATTCCCAAAAAACGCTTCATGAAACGACACTGTAACAGGAAAGTCAATCACGTATTGTTACATGCTTCATAACTTTCCGCTTCATGAAACCACAGAAGAAAAGAAAACGAAGCACACTACAATTTTAAAAAAATTGAGGCCAACTGTAATTACATTGAAGCTCCCTGTATCACAAAATGTACATACTGATGGAGTTTAAAACGTATCCTGGGAGCGTCCGTAACGAAGGTAAAACTTCGATGGAAGGGGATAGAGGTCAGGAAATGATACACATATGAAACACCGAAAGAACCGTAAGAAAAAAAAAAAGAATCGAAATAAAACGAATGCCCTGATCTTGGATAAATGTACAAAAATTATCCTACCTGATCCTGTCTGCAATTGCAGATCAAATTCTTAACTAACCTACAAACACGGCCAAACCAGGGTGTGAAAGGAATGTGATTTGTCAGTGCACAGCTTGTTAAATACAGCAGCTGCAGATATGAAACAATGCTCCGTCAGACACCCGGGAAACTCTTGTGATGGAACGATTCGTGTCCCGCTATCTTGTCTTCTGACATCGTATACAAATTATGCAACTTCCTCACCGTACGATCCCGGGTAAAGAATTAGGCAATTGTGACCTCCAACAAATTCCTTGTATCTCCCAAAAATTGGTGTATGCCCTCTCCGCATCCGGACAGGGGAAAAAAATGAAAAAATGGCAACACAAATGTGGGGGGGGTCAGCAGTAAGGTGTGCTCACATAATCGAAGGCATCTTCAAGCAAAATCATGTAGCTGATGCTGCTCTTGAATCTTCTGTCTTGTTTGAGCGGCACATACAATCCGGGCATGGGAAGGTATATATAGAGTCATTAGGCCTCTTGATCTCATAGCCCTTTGAATCACTATGGGACCTCATGCCCAGCAAGTGACGCTTGAAAGTCTTCCATCTGAGGAATAAACAACAAAGCCAAGAAATGTTTACTATGGTGTCCAAGACATTTTTGTTCATATAACTCAAATGCATGACAGTCCATAATGTATTTTCATCTATACTTAACCCACTGCGACGACTAGAACCTCCTGCCTACTGCCGCAACATCCATAAAAGGCATTGACACAAATATCAGCAAATGTAACCAAACTTCTAGCCATTCAGTACATACAAAGACGCATTTTTAATGAAACTAAACTAAGATTCACCCTCAAAGAAACTAAACTAGCAGCAGTAGTCATGTATACATACCCAATTTGTGGATTATCAAAGAGTAATGCTAGCTTCCGCTTGTCCGGCCTGATAGTCTTTGAGTGTCCACCATACATGTATCTTCTGTGTCCGATCAAAAAATGGGGAAAGTTCCCTCCTTGAGTTGTCACAAATACTTCACTATGAAGACAAACAGTGTAATCTATCGCAGCCATCCTGGAAGAATAATTCTAGTAGCAGTAACTCAAAGTCAGAACAATTGTGTTATACCGTACCACAGAGACAGTAGAACCAAACAGAATTAAACGATTTGGACCTTGAATGGAGCAAGCTCCTCTTCTGACGCTAGCATCTCTTTTGTCTGCAAATTAGGAAACATTTCCAGTAATGGGGCCATTGACTTCTCAGCATTATATATCTTTCCGGATGCCAAATATATAAATGTGTTCTTCTCAAAACCCATTCCCCTCAGCATCAAGCCAACCTGATTAGATGACACATAAAAAGAAATAATCAACTATCCATATCAAGAAATACAAAAGAAACTTGAAAAAGTCATAAAATCTTTCCAAAGTAATAACAAATTCAACAAAGAAAAAAGACAGTTGCAATTGTCTTTGAAAACATCAATTTAGGGGACCCCAGCTGGCAGATGGCATCATAGCACAGTGGTATAGTCTGCCTTGCAATGCAAGTGCCTCCTATTCTGGGTTCCAATACAGGAATGACACAACGGATAAGGGAGGGGTGGCTAACCCCCTGTTATGTTGCTCAACTCGAATGTGAAATTTACATTGCTCAATAGGAATTCATGCAAAACTTTTTTTTTTCCGTTAGTCAAGACTCAAGAAGAAGTTCAGTTTGTAATTAAACACACCAGAAAGAACTACCCAAAAGCAAAAGTTATACCTCTAAGGGAGAAAGGGGACATTTGCCATTGACCCTGATTGCTCCAGGACGTATAACCCTACCAGGTTTGGTAAATTTCCCTTTCCAACCTCTTTCCCTTGCTGCTTTCATATCTTCATTTTCTTGCTCTCCACCATCAAAAACACAACAAGAGAACGCAACCATGTCCTGCAAATAGGATATCAGCAATTCCACTTGTGAAAGAAAAATAATACCTTCTTCATGAGGTTATGAAAAAGTCAATTACAATGCCACACTTCTAGTTTATCAGGACAAACCTCCTCAAACCGAAGATGAACAGAAATATATTTTCCACCATAATTTGTGCTGCGTTCTTTCATTCTTACAACCAAAACTTCTCCCAAAGTTAATATAGGACTTGAAAACTTTAAAGCTTCATAATTTGCCAAGCATCTTAACCGTTGGACAGCAGGAGGAGAATCAAATGATAAACGATTTGCAAAAGGAGAAATCCGTATAACCCTGTTTCATCCACCAATATAACCATAAGGATCATTTTATATAAGCATCGCTTGAATCTTGCCACACCCATTCACAAAATTGATGAAGGACGAATATATCAGATCATAAAAAAATAGATGGAAATATAAGCATCCCTAGAATATGCAATAGATAAAAAAAAATTAAAATTTTCAATTCCTGCACAAAGTGCATAACAGTCCATATTAGCTCAATGCCCCAGAACAAAAACCTTTTTAAGTATTTAATACCAAAAAGTTAAACAGAACATATAGTTACTGGATCTCATTTAAAATAGTGATAAAACAACATATAAAGAATGAATTTATGATTGATGGCCACTAATAAAGTTAATATCAAGTACACAAGTTTATTGTGCCTCAACCCAAGAAACCTCATCCACCATGCAGAAATTTGTTAGATAAAAAACACATAGCAGAAAAAGTGTCCAACCCAAAAACATCATATTCATGTGGGGTGATAGGTCAAGGTTGAAATTTACCACCTCTACCTGCACACAAATATAGGACTCGCACCTAAGGCCTCAGCATGTCTCATTTGATGCAAAGTTTTCATTTTTAGCACAACATTTAGCAGGACAACATAATGAGAAAGTATCTTTAAATAAATAAAGGCAATATGAAGATTAAGAATTTCTGACTCACTTTTCTTCAAGTAGCCTTGGGAGAACAACATCCTCATAGTACAGAATGGGAGACCATGCTTTAATTCTGAAGTTGTAAACATTGGTCATATTGTGATCAAATCGTTCCATTAAATATTCAGGAATCTTGTCAACCACACGTACATCATTTTCCAACATACTGATGAAGTAATCTTCGTCGTAAATTTCACTGAAATTACTGGACAAAAGTAATAAAAAAGAGAAGGCAATCAGATTCCAGTCTATATGAGAATGAAACAGTCGATACTAGATTCATATTTTTGTTCAACAGAAAACTCCTGATAAATCTATGAGGTAATAAGCTAGGTCAGGCCAACCCGATAACTAAAAAAATGCTGTATTTCACCTTATATCATTTTATTCCTTTTATCTCATAATGTAACTTTACACTTTCAACCCTCCTTCAGTTCTGTTTTTAAGCTGAAGTGTTAAACTGAGCCAAGTTGTATGGAAAACATGCCAAACTTCACACACTGTTTCTTCTCAGATTCACACTCTGTTTCTTATGTACCTCAGAATTTTGGCATGTCGTCCATACAAAAGCATGGATATTTGTTGTAAGGCACCCTGATCATACAAGCGCAACAACAAAGAGAAAGTTTTGACAAACCTTGGATCTCTCCAGATGCTATGAAAATGAAATTTGGGAATTACAAGTGTCGCATTAAGATAGCCTGCAACAGCAACTGCATTGCATATCTAGAAAGCATCAACAACAACCATCCATCAAGGAGTCAAGAAAGTTGTTACAAGAATGATCTTCCTTACGCAATAGGCAAAGCACAAACTTAAACATGAAAAGAAACGCTCAACAAGACAGGAGTCAAACTTACTGAAGTCCTCTGCTGATTTAGACCACCATTTGCCTCAACGTATATATAACCATTTGACTCGGCTAAACCTACAAGTATAAACAGTGAAACCACATTAAAAATGTACAGAAATACATAAATGTGCCAAACTAAATAGAAAAGAAAACAAAGCCATTGCTACAGTAGGGGAAAATGTCAAAAAGGAGGGCTGTGAACGCATAGAAATTCAAAAAGTG